TTGTGACATCTGCCCCGTATGCGACGTAACCACAGTCCATTGAAACCCCAAGGTTAATTGGATGACTCGTAGTTTCAACGCACCATCCATTGTTCGCCGACAACACATTGATCGCTTCATCGATAGTGCACAAATCTCGGATGCAACAATATTTGGCTACAGGGTCTTGGTTTGCTGCTGAAGCTTCCTACTAAATTCCCGTGTCTAGATCCACTTCATTCATGTGGAACTAAACTATGGCGCCGTTATCGGCAACATGGCTTATTGGCATATCGGGGTTGATATCGTCAACGGCACGGGCTTGGCCCCAGACATGTCTCGGTCACTTGATTGCTCTTGGACCTCAAACAAGTGTCTCCATAGTCATCAAGGAAGCCCAAGATACCTGGCGGTACCACTTTTCTATTGATGTCGAGTTCGGTTCTAAAGTCTATCGGCGTTGGGCCATATGTTGCTTGATATCGACAAGTGTCAAACTCGGAGCGGCCCATTTCCAAGTCTCGATACGCATCACGTGCTCTGTCTAGCATCACGTGCTCTGTCTAGCTTGCGCTCCGGGTAGATCATGCTTGTTGTGTTCAATCGCTCGTTCCTGACCGAGCTTCAGAAGTTCTTTTGTCTGTGCAATCATTCATGCTCTATGACTCCAGCTACTATTTATTTGCACACGGACTTTGCAAAAGCCTTCCGGTATGGCCTTGCTATACTCCAAAATAGCCAAGAAAAACCTCTTACCACAAAGAGGGGGTGTTCTCAACGCCACTGAACTCTGAATGTCTTCGCGGCTCTGACATGGCAAGATATGACTACTATCGATTTCCAAACGTCTATATCACTATAGCATCGAATAACTTGGCACAAGCCCATAATCAAGCCTACAAGACCTTTCAGCTTCAGAAAGGGTTTGGGCGCAAACACGGCCAACCCCGGATTGACAGACTTCTTCCATCTGGAAATACATTTTTTCAGGATCCCTGACAGATTGGCGGGAGCTTAGAATGTCCAAGGTGAAGAGAGGAGGTGAAAAGATGTACTTTATATAGTCATTAAAGGGGCTGAACTTTGTAAAACATCACCTAGATTCCACACAAGTAATTCCCCTCCCCTGGCCCCCTCCCCCCCGCCTTCCCCAAAGCTGGTGAGGGTTTATATCTTTTTTCTGTTAAACTTGGCTCATGGTGTCTGTTCTTATCATTATAAATAAATGACAACCACAATGCCTGGTTTTTTCTTTGGGGATTTTTTTAACTACATCTGGCTTGTGTTTGACTTCGTTCACTGAACAGCTTCTTCTCTCTCTCTCTCTCTCTTCAGCTCCAATGAAACCACTCAGCGTCTTTGTTCGTGGTTAACAGGAGCCACTACTTGTATCCATTTAAACTAGCAAGTACTCACTGTTGAACTTGACTCACCATAAGCATAAGATAATTATTTGCAAAACAGACGAGAGTCATTATTGCTCTCTTCACTCAGTAGAAGGCCTGCCTTTATTCACAGGTAGTGAGAACTCCCTTGTCCATACCGCCCGAGAGCCCCGTGAATAACTACTGGACAAGAGTCAATGATAGATTTTGAAACTGGCGAGAACATCCCCTATTCTTCGTGGAACTAGAGTCCTCTTGCTCTGCATCACAACACGGGCGTTGTGCACTGGCTGTCTTCACAATTGGCGAGAGCCATCCAATGTTCTCTTCAATACGGGCGTAAGCCCTCTTGTCTATCTTTCCATCTTTAGTTTCCTCTAGTTTGTTTCGTTTATGTTTGCAAAACTCTCGACAGCACCTGGGTTCTGATTCCTCTTTTCCTTACTCCACCCTCGTCGAACGCAGATTGTGCCTATCTACTATTGCTTTCTTTCTTTATTCTTTCGACTGTCAATACGATTATAGTCGATTTACCCCTATTCCCACTCATACGAAATATTCATCGTCAGCATCATCGACGTCATGGACCACAAGGCCCCCGTTAAGAACGGACAGCGAGCCAACAAGACCTTGGCCCAGGTCGAGAATGACAGCGACGAGAAGTTCTACGAAAGGCAGAAACTTCGCCACCAGTGGGCGAAGTGCTGCGTCAAGTATGTCAGGTGTGATAGTTGTGAGGAGCTCGCTGGCGAACAGGTCCCCCACCAGATATGTGATGCTTGCGCCGTCGCCATCTGCCGCGACTGTGTCACCGCCGGCAAGATGAGGCTCTATCCCACTCACCCTCAGAAGAGTGTCGGCGAGCTTGACTGGAAGCCTCCTTCTGTCATCTCTACCAAAAACAAGGCGGGTCAAGGCCCCGCGCTGGTCAACAACATCGCTTCTGGCACCGGCTTGAGAGGTCAGCGCAACCCCGCCATGGTCACTCCCGTCCGGCAGAATCCTGCCGGTCCTGCTGCTTCCTCCTCTAACGGCAGCAACACGCGTGTATCTAAGGGTGCTTCGTTCCGTAAGGGAAAGGCAAATGCTACAGCCGGCTTGGGCTCATCCGGCGGTTCTAAGCAAATCCAGGTAATTCCCCCTTTCCGTACCAGCCTACCTTTCCTTCTCTGCCAATTCCCTACTGACCTTCACCTTCCTTCTTTTTTCCATCCCTCACAGACCTTTCTCACGAGCAACGAGAATTCCTCGCTTGTTCTTTCTACTCAGACGAAGAAAAAGAACAATACTGTTACTCTTTCCGACAGAGATTCCGACCCAGACTACGGCATGGACACCCAGAGCACTAGCTCCTCTGATAAGGAGTACATCCCGCGCACTGATCTCGGCCGCAAGTCGTCTACCCCTTCCAAGAAGAAAGCCAACGAGACCGCCTCCGTCGGCCCTTCTGTCAACAACCCCCCAGTAACTCCCGTCGGTCTCGCCAACTCTCGTCCTGTCCGCGCCTCTACCATCCAGACGTATGAGAAGATGCGCCAAGCCAACGTCAAGAAGCAGCGTGACGTCGATGGATTCCATGCCGCCTTTGACGAGGAGCAGAACACCAAGTCTGATCTGAAGGTGCCCCCCTGCGCCCATCACACGCGCTTCGTTGGTCACACCACTTCTGTCGAAAATCTCACCGGCGGTGATAAGGTAAGATAAACCAGTCTCATTTCATCCTATGTCTGATCCGCCCTTGACCAACACCACTCTCCAGACTGATGGTTACGCTCAGCAGGGTGCTGTCTACGGCGGTACCGCCTTCCTCTACGCCTCCGAAGAAGCCCAGCAGCTCGTTGGCTATGGTGTCAAGAACCGCACTCAAACCTATCAGCACAAGGGTCTGCCCCGGCTTCACCCTGGTCCCGGACCAAGGGCCCAGTCGAAAGCTATCGAGTTCCTCGTCCCCGTCGTTACCTCGGATGATAAGAAGCGCGCCGCCGCCGTCGCGGCCGAGGCTCCAACCCCCAAGCGCCATAACATCTCATCTCAGTCCTTCACTCCGGTCAGCAAAGCAGAGCTTTCCGCCGCATCCACCAACGCCATCAAGGAGGCCGAGTCTTCGATCCGTGCGAGAATTCGACAGATCACCCCTGCTGAGCGCGACGCCAACCGCGTATTTGTCACCGCCGGTCTTGATGGTCTCGCTGCCGCCATCGAGCACAAGGTCCGCCTTCGCCTATCAGTCACCGGTTTCCGCACCATGCAAGATGCAGAGACCGAGCTGCGCAACGCCATTCACGGGGCCTGGGTCAGTAATATGGCTGTTACGCACATCAAGCGCACCGACGGCGCCCTAGCCGCCATGCAAATTCTCCGTGGCTACGCCAATATCGTCATGATGAGAATGCAGATGATGGGTAGCGGTCTCCTCAAGAACTGGATCGACGCCACTGAGAAGGATATCCAGGACAGAGCTGCCTTTGTTCCCAACGAGCTTCGTATTCAGGTAAGCAACAGACCCGTCCGTGAAAGGTCGGGGCGTAGACGCTGACGTACAACAGACCGTCGAGCCTGCCGTCCAGGAGGGCTTCAAGTTCAAGATCGGAGAGACGGACGTCTACGTGGCCAACATCCTGGCTGATATGAAAAACTCTACAAGCTAAAGGGCCCGCTTAGTCTGACTTGCAGAGGAAAACCGTTGTCACTGCTGCTGCGCACAACCTCATTGCTCATTGCCCCGTCAGATTGAGCGTGCGTTTAGCACTCAACCGGGAATAACCTGACGATTATCCATGAGTTTCTTGACCTTTACCTCCTTTTTCATTATTCTGTCTCCTCCATCACGGCATGTCATCGGACGTTTTGGGCGTTGGCAGGCCGAGTGTCTTTGGAACTAAATCGGCCTAGGCTTCGGGTTTAAGGGTCTTTGAAGATTCAGGCTTTTCATTATCGTCTTTCAATAGGAGGTACCGGCGTTGGGTCATGGTCAAGTATATGGGATGGCAGTTGGGTTTGGTTTTTGGCTCCGGCTTCAGATACCCCTCTCATGTTTTCCTCTTGACGTTTGTCACTATGGTCACCAAGGATAGATAGAAGACTTTGAGAGAATCGATTAAGAAATTGACTTTACTTCCTGTGCAGTGACAACTTCTTGTGACAGTGAAGTGAGTTGCCTGGCGGCTTATGACGTCGCAGTGAGCAGTCCCCCCTGACCTCCTGCGCATCAGCACAACCGAGAGCGAAGACCGTGAGCTTATAAAGGGGTTTTTGTTTTTCTAGAATAAGTATCTGACCTGGAAACTTATCACCCCGAGTTCGCATTTGAGGCTGTCGGAGGTGTTTACAACTTGTGTCTCGCTTTAAGGTACTCTTATTTGTATTTAGAGTCAGTATCACGTCCCGGCGATCTTGAAGTCCTGGAAACTGCCAAGTATAACACAAGGCTGTAAGACTGCAACAAATGGATGCGTCGTTGCGCCGTACCCCTACCATTATCAATGGCTGTGCTTGCTCGCGATATCATCGAATATTACAAAAACCTTGACGCAAGAAACGATAGAGGCGACAGTAGACAGAAAAAAAAAACCCCCCATCTCTATCTCGGATTTCCCTCTTGCTCCGGGCCCCTCAAAAAAAAAAAAAAAAAAAAAAGCCGAACCTCTTACTCTTTCCCAAGTGTCAGAGATAAGAGCCACCACACCGACGGAAGGAATGGGTCACCCAGAGGGGGAGGGGGGCAGGTTCGACCCGCCACATCGTCCGACGAGGACTTGCCCAGCCGGTCAACGTCCACTGACCAGATGAGTCGTATTCCAAAACAACCCCTCGCGCCAACGTCTTGATAAAGGAGAGAAGGGAAACAAACAAAGAATCTTCCCATCCGACCCGACCCGAACCGAACCACATCAAAAGAAAAAGGCAAAGTCGGCGGGGTTCTCGTCTACAAAGTCTTTTTTTTCCCCCGTTCGACACGCCGGCTGTCCGACGTGTAGCAGAGGATGCCCGAGAAATCGACCAGGAAGGCGGCCAAGGGCCCCCTCGGCGACGCGAGGGGCCACGTCTTCGAGGCCGGGAAGATGGGCCTGGAGAGGGCCGAGTTTGGGGATGTCGCCGCGCAGCGGTTCCCCAGCGACCCGATCCGCGTCAAAGAGGTGAGCAACCCCCCCTCTCTCCCCGAGGCGCCGACCGAAGTCCGAAGACTGGGATACGAGCTGACGAATGGGGTCTACCTCAAGTCTCCCGGGGGCGACAAGTAGTATTGTAGGGTCTCGCGCCGGCCGAACGACGAGGATAGACAGGCCGTCGCATGCCGCCGTCGAAGCAATGCGGCGGCGGCCGAGGGACAGGACAGAGCTAGCACGGACGCGAAAGACGCCGAGGCAGTGGAGCACGAGGAGAAGAGAAACGAGTATCTTTGCGATATATGAGACGGTTTGAAACTATAGCTCGTTCGGACTCTAACGCTGTAATAAGGCCTGCGCCCATGCTCTAATACCTGAACCCAGAGTCCCACCAATGCTTTCCAGTATGCCAATGTAAAAACGATTCCATGTCGGGCTTCCACCAAGAGACCTCTCCGCGTCCGAAACCCAACGCACGAACAAGAGAAACGGGGACGGGCTCCATGAGCCACAGACCGGTCTGCGCAAAGTCGTCCGTCAGCGGCTGGACGGTGATGTGCAGCCACAGGGCCACGTAGAGAAGGTTTCCGAGCCTCCTCAAGACGCGGGGCAGCCTCGAAATCTGAGGCTTCAGGGTGGTGCAGAACGACTGCTGGACGACCACACCCACGCCTGACAGCCAGAAGAAGAGAGCAGGCTTCCACCACTTCGTATCGGGGATCGAGCTGACGCTTCCGGCGGCGTGCAGCAGGCCCGAGAGGAGGAAGGCAACCAACAGGCTAACCATCTTCGTGCTGCGTGCCCCCTTTTTCAGATACCCTTGCTTAATGGCAAAGTTGACCGGCGCGGAGAAGGATTGCCGAAAAGTCTGATGCCACCAAGAACCCCAAAATCCAGCCAAGCCCCTGTCCAGGATCTGGCTAAAGGAGCCGAACACTGTCGCATATTGCCACAGCTCACCCCGAATGGGGTAGACCTTGCTAAGGAAGTAGTACTGGAACAGATCGTGAATGCTAAAAATCATGACCATCCCGGCGTAAATGACACCAATGACGGCAGCATGACGGTACACAGGCACGAGCCAAGACGGGAGTACCGCTAGGTGAGGAGGGAGGGGAAGGGAGCTGCTGCCGAGGACGAAATAGGGGTCCTCCATAACGGTGACTTTGAAGATATCGAGGAAGACATATGCAGCTCCAATAGAGAGCAGCTTCCTTCGCAGGAACTCATTCTCATCCTTATACGTCTGGCATCCGACGAATGTCTCCAATGGTATTGTGTCCATCTTGACCATCTCGCCTGTGCCGGGTCGTTCAGGAGGGGCTGGGCTAGGTACCGACGAGACGGCCCAAGACCAACCTTTCTGTAGTTAGTAATGGCTATTTCAATACCGGGAGGCGGGTGATGCTGCTTACCGACTCCCCTGAAGTTGGTGTAGAGATCAATGACCCAGCTGAGTCTTTCGAGGAAGGTTCCATCCTCCGGATAAGCTTGCCAGTAATATTCGTACTCATCAAGGTTGACCTCTGGTGCTGTCACTCGGGCGAGTCTTCGCTTTTTGCTGCCAGCTCGTTTCCTGAGCCCAGACCCATTCGGCGAGTTGGATCTGCTGGAGGGCTTTGAGGATTTGGGAGAGGATGCCGGCTTCTTGGCCTTTCTGCGAGCGACTCTTTCGTAGTCGAATTGCGGAGCTGTGAACACCAACATGGTGAGGGCGATCATGATGCCGAAAAATGAGTGTACCCCGACGACATACGATACGGACATGTTGGTGCTGGAGGTGTATTTCATGATGTCTAGGTCGAATATGATGATAAAAGCGACAACAAGCCATCTCGCACGGTAGAGCCATGGCCGCTTCGTGTGGGGGATAGACATGTAGAGAATCGGAAGGATGTGACTAGCAAACATGTTGTAGGGAAACACGTATGGCCTTGCTTCACCGGCGGCGACACGGGCCTTGAAGGCAGCGCGGTAGGCGTCGCGAACAATGGTGGCGAGAACTGGAGAGCTGACGTTGGCGATACTCGGCTTGGTGATATTGCTGAGAACGGGTTTGACGAGGTCGGGCAAGCCCAACGTAGCTGTGATGTCGGCAGCCATGATGGATTCTTGCGATATGATAATTCTCCCAATGAAGTGGTGCCTCGGTTCACGGAGTCGTATATTGTGGTTGCTTGGTGGGCAGAAGACGGTTGCCGTGATGAGGGAGTTGGGGTTGTATAAATAAAACCGACGTGCAGCCACAGCTGAATATATGGCTGAGTCAGATATACTACAGGTTCAACTGAGGCACAGACAACTGTCCCGAGTACGTGAGCCGAAAGGAGCAAAAAAACTTTAAAAAAAACCCCCCCCCCCAGTGTGTCCTCCAGTAAAGACAAGGCGTACCTAGGTAGTAAGTCTTGGGGAGTGTCGCGGGAAAATGGCCGTACTCCGAGGCCGATGCCTAAATTCTGCGATATTTTCCCTCGCATGGCTAGACGAGCATTGTTTGATGCCGCTCAGGAAGCGAACGCGAGTACGATGGAAAATCAAGGGCGTGAGACAAGTCAATAACCCTGCAAATTGGGGGGGGGGGGGGGAGAAGGAGGACAGGGGATAATGGAGAAGGGATGAGCTCCTCAAGGGCTCGGGAACAGAGAGTTGCGATGGGCTGGAGTTGGGCGACATGTGGGCGAGTTGCGCGTGTGTCGGCTGTTCTCATCTTGGTTCACTGCTGGTGGCACCCCAAGATGTGTTTCGCCTCTCTGGAAACGGGGCGGAGATCTCAGAATGGTAGCAGAATGAATGATGTGCAGATGGATGGGATGAGGGACACGGTAATGCGAGCTAGGATGGACAGAGTAACTCTCGGGTAGGTACTGTAGTTTTAGAGTATCTACCTAGGTAAGCAACCAACTTTGGGCGTGGCAGAACACAAACAGGCTAGGTAGTGGTGGGGAGGATGTCTAGGTTAGGCGGGGAGACAATTCGAATAATAAAAATAACAACAATTCAGAAGAACTTCTTCGCCTTCGGGTTCGAATCGCATCGCGTGCATGTAGAACGGTGGGTCGAGTCGCCGCATCTATTCGTCTGACGCACCGTCATGTGGACGGAAAAGGCATGCATCGGTATCGAAGGTGCGAGGCCTCCCCACGTCAGTTGTCCGAGCCGCCGGCCGCCAGCTGGTTCGGGGTGATGGGTCCTTCCCTGGATGGATATCGGCCAGGCGGGGTGGACCCTGCCGGATGCGAAGACGATGAATTGTGGCCCGCGCCTCTCGCATGCGATGCTCTGATTCGCGCAACTCTCTCGTGCATTGGCGTCATTGATGTGTGTGGTCTCGCCTCTCAGCCCAGACGGCAGCGCCCTTGCTCGTTCGTTGCTTATTCCTCCCTTTTGCTGGTCTGGTCTGGCCTGGTTTACAAATAAACGTTCATGGGAAGGGGCAGTGTTCACACGAGTACGAACAAGACTGCCACCGATTCTTCCTTTGTCTATTACATCCCTTCTCCATCATTTCGAGGACCATTCCAGGTCCAAGTGTCGCCTGCCCCGGCCCAACTATCATCGTGAAGAGTTCCCCGCTCGTGTCATTATTGTTCCTGTTAGCCAGGTCCTCCAATTCCCCAACACGCCAGCCACGCTGGTTGGCGGCGATTCGAGTTGATAGTCGCACCGCACCGCACCGCACTGCAACGGGACGAGACGAGACGAGACGCGAAAAAGAAGGACGCAGCTCACAAGAATTAAGGGCTGTCAGACGCAAAACTCAACCTTGCTCGCTCCGAGAGCAAGCTTGTGACTACCTGGTCAGCAAAAGGGGCCGACGGCATCTAGTGTAAATGTTTATTTGCCCACCCTGACTTCCCGAACCTACATCGTATAGTACATCCTACATACAGGGCATCCGTAGGTACCGGTAGTAGACGCAGTGCCTTTCGGGCGACAAAGTTACCGCTTACGAACTGTGCTTGTGGTCCTTATTAAGTAACGTATGCAGCGGAAACATGCTCCCTTTGACCAACGCACCAAGGCACTGATGCGGCTATCGACCCATTCCCCGTCAATTCTGCTCTGCGCCTCGTGCTTCGTCCGGCCGTTCCGTCTCTTCGAATATCTCATCCAAGTCATTCTGCCCTCGCCGTTGTCATGTTCGAACTATACCTTTCGTCGTGCGCCACATGATACTGTTCCGAGCAGCAACACCCCCAACCACCGTCTCACTGAGGTCCACGTATGAATGAGGGGGGGCGGGAACACCCTCTTCCTTCATCGGAGCCCCTGGCAAAGTCGATGTCGTCTTGGGTACCGCCACAGCCGCGTCTATTGGGGCGTGGCTGCAGACGCTTCCTGCTTCGCTCTGTTCATATCGGCCGAGTTGAAGATATCTCGAGACTTCCATGTATACAACGTCACCCCCTCTCTTTACTTACATTGCCCTGGTACGTGGGTATGCGACCACGTCAACTTTGCCACTACCGCCCCCACCGACACTGCCGTTTACTGCGCCGCTCACGACTGCCTATCGGCTTGACAATGACCAGCGTCGCCATCGTCATGAGCACGCTCGCAACGGCCCACGTGCCGAACGCCGCGACCGAGAAGCTGAACATCGGCACGGAGTCCTCAGACGTCTCATCGGTGGCATTCTTCTCGTTTTCGTTCGCAAGGCCCTGAAACTTGACAATGTCCGTACTCAGAACAGCCTACGCACACGGTCATTGGTATCTCCATCCGATCAGCGCATTCGTTTTCTCGTTCTTTTTGGTTTCCCCACAAAACCCTCCAGGACTCTCACCAAAACTTACCGATACTACCGTGACTGGCAACAAAACTAGGGCAATGAATGTAAGTTTCTTCATCGCAGACGAGTCGTCTGCTGTCAGCTCTGCGATTTTTTTCGTTTGTTGACTCGAATGGTGCGCTTGCAACCGTTGGATCTAACAAGCTCAGCTCCTGCCCCCTTGTCTCATCTCCTGTCGCAACTTACGTATTCTTCACGGTTCCTGGCGAGCTTGTCCAAAGCTAGCGCTCGGTCCAGCAAGTCCTCGATATCGTCGATTATAACCGCCAAATCGTCTGCAAAGTCTTCGATATGCCTCCGAATGCCATTGGCTTGGCCATTTTCTAGGTTGTCAGCTCCTTTGAATGCCTCGTTGACGAAGAAGCTCCGTAGGGTTTGGAGGACCCGAAGGTTATTCTCGACTCGCATGACGCTTTCATGCCGAGATTCCATCAGAAAGGCCATCCTTCGCAGGTCCTGGGCGTGTATTGCTTCTCGGGGCCCGTCATCGTTGTCGTCGTCGTCGTCGTCGTCGTCGTCGTCGTCATCGAAAGGGTACACGTACGGCTTTGTCTGTCTCTTGTCAGCATGCTGTAACCATGACCGCTTGGGGCCTTGGAGACCCCGACTCACTAGATCGGAAAGACGTCTTTCCGTGTCTTGGAGGTGATGCGAGAACATTCCGACAGACCAGCGGGCGACGGCAAGGAGACAGCTTAGACTGACACGGACGCGCTCGTGGACGTCGAAGCGTGCAAGCGCGGCCAAATCACTTGCCAGACCGTCTCTCAACGTATCCCAAAGCAGATTCTGCGTGCCTTTCCCTTTCTCTGCATGATAGCACCTCGGGACCCCAAGGAGCCAGACCGCAGTGCCCTCCACAAAGTCCATGTGAAGATATGCTACGGCAGTATGCGTCTCCCACCGAGGTGTCCGGGCAGGGTCTGTATCCTTGGGCAACGCGTGAAGAGGGTATTCGCGGATGCTGAAGAGTGTGAGGCAAACTTGCACATGCGTACCGCTGCGGCCCAGCCCCACGAGGCTCGGCTGTCGTTTCTGAGGCGGGAGCGTCGAGCAGCCGACGAACCCTGCGAAGCGCATGCTACTGGCGAAACTCCATGCCCCGCCGCCGCTCGTGAGGAAGCTCAGAAAGTGGACCGGGACTTGATGATAGGTGAGTATGTCTAGTAGCACGTCTTCGCTGACGTTGAGGGTCATCGAAGCTGGCCAGGGACGTTCCAGAAGGCTTCGTCGTGTCAGGCGGGAAACCCGTCATGCGCTGTGCCTGTGGGATGACTTACATGACGCGCAGTGGTGGGTCTTTCACAAAACTGCTAGCCTCCGTCGTGGACTCAATCGCACTCGGCCAAGCTAGCTTTGCTCGAAGCTCCTCCCCGTCGCGGACAAGGTACAGCTTGCCCTTGCGCTTCCAGCTTGAAACCGGCTCGTGTCCTGCGACCTCAATCAGTGGGACCCCGTGTCAGCCTCCGGCCTGGTCGTCGACGACGACGACGAGTCTCACCGGAGTCGTTCCCAGAGTCAGGTGCCGTCCCAAAGTCGATGATCACCAGCGGCTCCCGTTTCCCCGCAAGTCCGGCGAACATGCGGCCTTTCGTCTGGGCGTAGTGCTCGCGTCGCTCTCTGATCGACGCAGCATCCTCGCCCTGGTGGAGCAGGGTATCCGGGTACGTCGGGGCGACGGCGAGGTTTCTCAGGAAGCGGGCTTCCTGGTCGGCCATGATGTCAGTTCTCCCCGCGTCCATGAGCAAGTATGAAGGATGCACCTCCGTCTCCTGCGAATACGATTCCATTGTTTGATATAGCCAATATGTATCTGAAGGGTTGCGTACGATCCACAGACCCCTAGGACGCAAGGTTACTAGCCCTGCATGGGTATATTTGAGTGATGCGTGCTGTCCGAACCGTGATTCGAGGGGGATTCATCAGTCACACACAGTCATACGGCTTGGTGGTGCGTGAATCGTTACGCGACGGTAGACAAGGCCGTCGGCGGCACGCTGCCGGCTCGTAAGGGGTTTCTGATAGGGAAGTGCATGGGGACGTTGACGTGTCGAACGACGGGCGGCGCACGGGTACAGAAGTGGTACGGCATTCAACATTGGGCCAATAAATTCCCTCACGGGCGGCAAATAGAACATCCTGCGTGAGAAAATAAAAACAGTCTTAAACGTGTGACTGTGTTTGTGATTTGGTGGAGCACGAACACAGGCTGTTCACCGAATGCCCCTTTTCGCGCGTGCCGTCTTCTTGCAGTCGAGCCTCCCTAGTTCGGCATTGATCCACGAGAGTACGCCCGCGAAATTTGCTTGTCTTCTCGATAGGACTTTCCTCACAGCCTCCAGGGCCAGCCTGCGCGCGTTTGTTCGGGTCAGCTGGGTGTTCCGTGGGATGGACCGGCGGAAGCTAAAGGGCTATGCTACGTACCATGTGACCTGCGTCTTCTCGACGACACAGGCGTACCCCGGGTATTTCTCCCGTCTGGCCTTGCTGGTGAGAAGGACGATGGCGATGTTGATGATTTTGGCTACGGTCTCTGGATATGACGTGAGCGGGATAAGAGAAATGTTGAAGGGACGGGGGCTTACGCATGATCAATCCCTTGCCAGGCCGTTTCCTCGCGGGCAAGCACCGCCAGTAAGCCCACATCTTCTCGGCCGTTTCCACAAAGGCCTTGTGAAGGTTTGACGTGACGGTCTCAAGGGTGTTGTGTTTGGTGTCGTAGAACATTAGGTGAGATTGAATCTTAAAGGCGTCTGCATAAATGTCAGCCAAGGCACGATGGAGACACTCGAGCCAGCGTTGCACGTACTAAGGACCCTCCTTTGAAAGTTCTGGCCGGGCTTGTTTCCGTAATCGACCGTCAAAGCATTGGAGACCACTGAGGAGTCGGTTAGCTTACTTCTTGAATGCTGCATTTCCACGGCTGGCAAGGAAAGGCCCGAAACCCACCGGTGTTCTTGACGTGATCCCGATCCTTTACAATGTCCAGCGTGTTGCAGTTGACACCCAGACCGCAATAGGGAAAGTGAGACCCCTCAGGCAGCCTGGCTACCCTCATGCCGTTGATTTCCATGTCGAAGTTGACCAGCGTCTTTTCCGGGCTGACGATGACGCCATACTCGGGAAGTCCGCCGTGCATGACCTCGACAAACTCACACGCTTTTGACTGGTCCGTCGTGATGAGAAGAAAGTCGTCAATCAGCCTCAAGAGAAGACAATCCTCCGCAGCGAGAAACGCGAGATGCTGTGCCTCCAGATCAGCGTAGAAGTAGTTGCAGAGGGCGGAGGAGAGCACGGATCCCTGGGGGATGCCCTTCTTCTGCCTGTAGAACTTCTTGCCGACCTTGACCAAGTTCTGCTTAATGTGCGATGTCATGAGGTCCATCAACTCTCCGATGCTGAATTCTCTCCTCATCGTATTACCCACGAACACGGTGTTCTTCCGGTTCTTCCCGAGACGGGCCTCGACCATTTTTGAGAAGTCGGTCGTGTCGTTGGGCGTCACGGCGATGGAGTGCCACCGTCGTGTCAGTTTCGCGACTGCATGTTTCTGGGGCCGACTATCTAACAACCCAGCTTTGATTTCGACGTGTTTTTTGATGATGTATTGTTTCTCGCTGGGGATACCCTCCATTAACCGAATGACGGCAGCCTGTGGGATCGTGTCAAAAGCTGATTGAACGTCCACTTTGGCGAAGTAGAACTTTTGGGGTTGATCCCCGAAGCCGGCGCTGAAAGCACTCAGCCGTTGGTAAATATCGCCCACGGAGAACATCGAAGATCCGAGTTTAGATGGATTACGTTCCTGCAGATGATTAGCAAGTAGAAATGGAAGTGGAAGACTGGAATACGAACAGTCTCTAACCTGAGCATGGCGTGTACGGGAGTTAGAACGGAGTTGATACTCGGCCCAAGGATAGTGCTTTTGCCCTTGACCGCCATCCTCCTCCGGAGGTTCATAATTGGGCGCATAGCTTTCCCCTTGGGCAACAGCCTGATACGACTGTAACCCAATCGTCTGGAATCAAGGACTCGTGTCGCCTGATCCAGCTTCACCTCCTCGAACATGTTTGTACGGAGGGTCGCCATCGCAGGCTCCGCCACGAATCGCCAGACATCGTGTCGAAAGAAAAAAAGACGGTAGCGATGGGAACTCGACTCGGTGATGTAGAAGTTACTGCGCAATAGGGGTATCAAGAGTGAATCAAAAACATAGTATAAAAATTCGTTCAGTATCTCCAGTCGTTTCATCATGTCTGTTTGACTAGTCTTCTGGCCCTTTAGACCAGGTGGTGCCAGCCATTGCATGCTGGTCACCTGCGTAAGTCAGCAGAGGTTCCTCAATGAGACTTGGAACTGCCTACCTTCACTCCGTGTATAAGCTCGCAGAGTGTCATGCTCTCGAATCTTCGCATCCTGATAAAATGGTCCACCCTTTTCAGAATTGTGTTTTTGTTGTGTATCTGGTCTTCACCGAGCCCCCAAAATTCGCTGGGAATGATCTTGGCCAGGACAGCCTGACAAAATGCGGACACGTGGGCTGCTGGAGTCGCTAATTCAGTCACTGCATCGAACTTTATCCCCGGAACGGACGGCGCTGGTTGATGTGGCCTGTAGCGGCTCTGTGTTGTAGCACAAGAAAGGGCGGAAGACGCCGTCAGTTTAATATTCCGTTCTGGTGCTTGCGAAGCCGGAAACCTCTGAGGCTGTTTCAACGTCTTCTTAAACGAAGGGGTTCGAGGCTTGAAATCAATGGCAGATGGACAGTAATGCCGCAATAGCTCGGCGTAAGCGCAGCGGCCATGGAGCAGTTGCAACCGCTCGACAAGTCGTTTGGCATCTCCCCGAAGTCTCTTGGGAAGTCGCAACTTCTGTTTCTCGGATAACGATGAGATTTCCTCCTCACGGAGGGTGTAATCTGCAAATTTCTGAGACGTTGTGGAACGGTCGACGCTCGAGGTAAAGGCGTTGTGTAGACCAAACTGTCGAGGGAAAATGTACATCATGACCTTGAGCGTGTTCCGCTCATTGGCTTGAGCGATTGTCGACTTTTCTTCCTCCGACGTCTGATTTGAACAAGGAATGGAAGGGCAACGGCTCAACACGTCTGTGGTACAAAATTAGTATGAGTTCGTGATACAGCTGATGAGTAGCTTACGTATGTGTCTGAGGCCATATTGGACAGTGCCCTTGGCAGTAAGTGCAGCTCTGGCGTACAGCATACGATTCCTTACAAACGTGATTTCAGAAGGAAGCTGTTCATGAACTGCATCTACAGGCTTATGACCTCGTCTCGGAGGATTCATCTTGTTTTGGTCCGTAACCACTGACAAGCCTGTCTCCGACAAGGGGATACCACTCAATTGATACAGATTACCGACGCCAGCCTTCACGGGAAGAAATATGGTCGTATCAATGAGCAGATCAATCATGATCTGCTCACCAGATTTGCCAAGAATCATGAGGATCTGCGGCCACGGGGTGTCCTTGAGAGCCCGAACATGGTGATTCGGGTAGACAGAAGCGAGCCCCGGAATCAGCCCGACACTGTTTTGACCATTCGCATTGGCGACATTCTGAGCGCGTCGCCTGAAGCCATCGCACAGGAGGTGTTTCGGCCAAGCTGCATGAGGCTGTGTCCTGGAGAACAGTTGCCAGATGACGAAGTCAACTATCTGCATTTGCTAGTTAGTCCGAGATGCAACGTTGCCAAGTTGACAGACGGTACCTCTGATTGTGAGGAAGCAGCACTGGCTAGATCTCCCGAAGCCGATAACACAGACTCGTCAGCCTTTTGCGAGAAAGACCTCCACTGCTCCCATCGAGAATCAGCCTGAGCTTGGGGTAGATGATGTAGGCAGACCAGGGTCGTGTCTAGTAACAAAGACACCTCCGGTATCCATTGGTGGCCTTCCTTGCTTGACTGTGCATCGTCCTTCCCTAGCGAGGCAATCTTTTTGCGACGAAGCCTCGAAGAGCCTGGCAGCTTTGAAAGTAGGTATTCGCGGAGCGTCTGGACACTCTCGTAATACTGCTCCAGTACGGAATGTTTGATATGACTCTCAACCCGATCCGCCTTGGCCCTCTTGCATTCCAGATGCCTCTCGCCTAGTTCCTCGAGCGTCCGTGCTTTTCTTTTGCGTGCCATTGCAGCTGTAAGATCTCATCCCATCGTCAACATCCGTTTAGACGCGTAGCTTCTCCCCTGTCATCGACGTTGTCGCTCATTGAGGAACCGGGTCTGAGAGAGGCTCAATTCAGCACTATATGTGCTGAGAAGCCGAGAGGCATGCGCTAGAACATGTCCTTGCATGCGGGCATGCAGGCCATCTTCCAGGGAAACGCTGAGTAGTCAAATGGCGGCGGGGGCAAGGCCGAGGGTTGAATAAGGGGTGGCGATGTCGTTGAACGAGGTTGACAAGCGTGATGGCCCAGCGCGTCTTGCAGAGCAAAAGAAAACAACAGATTCGCGCACGGTACGTATCGCACCTGAACGGTCAATACGGTACGTGCTGATTGGCGGGTGTTGCTAATGGATGGGCTGGTGGTGGCTGGCCTAGACGCACATACCCCAATGGACGACGGTGCACGTCCAGTGATCTGCCGAACACGGGCGGCATCTCTAAACGGTGGCTTGGTGGCTCTGGCACTCGATCCTCACCAACGCTCGAATCATCAAGGGGCATCGCAAGGCCATGGACGACGCTAAGGCACCCCAGTTCATGCTTGTGGTGGCTCTGTCGAAGACGAGAGGCGGGTTTGGTGGTCGTGGGGAGGATCCACCACCTCGGCGGAATGGACTGGCCGAGGCTGGACAACACATATCTACAAGGATTTACGGGGACCACTTGGGGCGTGATCCTGCAAGGTGGGAATACCGTACTTGCCTCGAGTGCTACCATGATGGCTGCTATAGTGTTGACTGTCGCCTTGGTGGTTCTGCGCTAGGTGTACTTGCTACGTGATATACTTGCGCTACCCTACGCTAATTAGATATGTATCGTCACCTGCTAGCCCCCTCGGACTGGACTGGGCCGGGCTGAGCTTGATGCAAGGGCGGGCGGAAATGCGGACGGCGGCGGGCTGTGGGATGAGAGCTGCCCTGCGGTGCTACGTTATACCATACTCTGTCCAATAAGTCCTTGATCGCGAACGCCTAGGGGAAAGGGTTCCCAGTCGACGAAAGAAGGGGGATTCGACATAGGTTGCAGCAATGTGGGAGTCTAAAGAAACCCACCCGTCCACTTTGTTGTTGCTGGCTGGTGGGCAACGAGTTGCGCTGTCCCTCAAAACACATGGCGAAAGAGAGAAAACGTGGCTTGGCTGTGTGGTACATACAATCTCATTCTCAAGGTTTGCTCAAGCCTTCTGGATCTGACTAAGCTAGAGAGGCGCCTTCCCTCGTCTCCGAGATGATCCTACTGGAGGGGGAAGCTAGAGCGGGAGCTGCAACGATAACTGCGTCATCCATCCAGTGAATGCCTCACATCATAGTAGCACGTCTTAAGGTGAGCACAGACTCGGAAGTCGCATTAGCGGAACTTGCCTGCTGAATACTCTAGGCCGGGAAACCCTGAACACGAGACGCGTCTGTCCCAACCACTGCGTAAGCATGCAGCTGTGATGCAGCAGTCATTGACACTTATCAATGGTCGTTTCCCCCACCGTCATGACAGGTAGCCGCTTGAGATTGGGAAACGAGGACGGGCATCGCGTCCCAAAACAGTTTCGGCACCGAAACATGTTTTTAACCTCTTACGATAACCAAGAGCAGCATGCACTCGGGCCAATTGGCGAGTCAACAACAGTGACGGGCAAACCAGCGCCGTTGGGCGTTGGGCATTGAGATGCTGCGCATGGGAACCTTGAAGTCATCCTGCTGCTTCTGGAGGGTGAATTGGCTCTCTCGGGTGTTCCAACCTGGCTGGCACCGAGGGCTTGGCGTCGAATGCAACCTTAAACCATGGATGGCTAGGTATAGGTAGATGGGTAACCCATAGAATGTCGGCCTCGATCCCGACTTTGGACGGTTTCGGGGCAGGATGCTTTCCCATGCATGCACGCTCGCTCTCCGGCACCGGCACCGACTCGGATGGAATACGAATACCGATTGACGTGCACATATGCCGCATGTCAGCTTATTTAGCCTCGACAGCGGTCAGTGGTTTTGATACCCGATGATGTGTGGTGAGGCGTTTGGCGAGGGGTTGGTTCCCAGCACGGAAGCTTGGCCCTCGTGGAATGCATGCGAGCTTGCCAACATTTTGCAACTCTGGCGACTGTGACAGCGGTCTTCAACCGGCCCCAAAACACCGTCACGCTCGATGCCATCGACGTCGCAAAAGAACGGCCCTGGGTCTCGGTCAACGCCCACAGAAAAGGCATGGCCGGTTGGCGGTGACATATCTCCCATTGTTATGTGGCCGTGCGCCCCGGCACTCGAAGCCTCGGCCTTTCTCTTTCGAGCCTTTCTTCTCGCCTTGAGAGTACCTAGGAAGGTGGAGGGAGAAGCCTGAGGTATTAGTACGGGGAGGCTTACTGCACTTTTGCCTTGTGCAACCAACGTCTACGAGTCTCTCTGTCTGCCGTAAGACCTTCCTAAGACGGCACCAAGCGAGGACACAGTCTTGACTTTTCTTCTTCTTCCTCTCTCCTTTTCTGCGGAGTATCGATATAATTCCCTGGGTACTAAAACGAGGTGTCATCCAGGAACCCCCCCCCCCCCCCCCCCCCCCCGGCTAGCAGATGCATCCTGACTCACACTGAATAAAATTGGGGGGTGAAAAGTGGGAGTGAAGGAAACGGGAACAAGCGCCTGCCAATGACAGCGACTGGAGATCGAGATACAAACTGCCTTGGGACTTGGGGGTGGAGTGTGCTTTGTTTGTTTGTCTGGGGTCTCTCCGAAGAAAACAACCTGGTCCATGCCATGATGTTTTCTTTCCACGGTCCAAACACTTCAATGGAGGTGAGCAATGAAAGGCGAACGAGTCGCAAATTGACGACCGGCCAACCTGCTAAAACGTGTTTTGGTGTGTTTTGCTGTTGCAACTCAGGAAAGTAGTAGAGGTAATTAGAGCGCGACAGGGCAAGGTTGCACAAGCAGCCTTTCCTTTCCTTTGCCTGGTACGGATACCGGGCACATCTTGATCTTGATTGGGTTTTCTCAAGATGGACGACCGGCCGTTAAACTCAATCTCCCGCGCGCCCTTTGTGTGTCGGCTGTGCCTGGATTCGCTGCTCCGGAAGAGGGAAAGAACCTTGGCTATACGGATACCTTTACGATGCTGGCCACTAGACCAGGCAGGCAAGCTTGCTTGCTTGCTCCGAGCGTCCGGGCAGACCTGCCAAACCGAATCCAGCACCTGCCGTCATCCCCTCCCCTCTCACACACATTCTCTTCTGTCATCCCGTCCTGTCTCCTTGCTACTACAGTGCATATAGTACGCTGTAGGTTTTTTTGTTTTTTATTTCTCCTACCAAGCTGCCCGCTAGTCCGTGTCCCGCAGGTATCTGTACTTTGCACACGACACCGCACTGGCTCCCCTTCTCACCCCCCGTCTTTTGCTCAGCTGTCATCCAGACCGAATCGTGCCCATCTTGACCGATTGGACGAGACCCTCAACTTCGCAATTACGGTCCCACTTGCCGTCTCAGCTCACCATCGATCACGGCCTGCCTGCATATTCATTCGCACTTGCCCTCGGGTGGCTGATGAATTTCCCAAAAGCCATAATATTCCCCTCCTTCCTCTGGCTTGTTCCGATAGGTGCTCTGGAAGGAGCTGCGGGTTGTCCCGTACTTTCCCCTCCAATTTTGCTCTCCTTCCTCAGCCAAGTATCTACCGTACTGGTCTGTGGTAGCGTAGACCACCGCGCCATTTCTCCGCACCCGAGCCCACCCCCCCTTCCACTTCTCCCTCCTCAAGTTATTTTCTCGAGGTAGGAGCTCCTCGACCAATCCATAATAACTATTTCCTCTTCTATCAGCGCTACGTCCACACCTTCTCCGACGGTGCACACCTCCACCCTCCTCTCTGTCTCTCCATCTGCTCCTCGTCTCACTGAGGTATTCTCTCCTCTCCCGCTTCGCACTTACGCCGTCACCTTTGATTATTGTCTTTTGTTATTTTAGTTTTGGGCTTTTCACCTCTCCAACCCTCGCTCTTGCCATCCCATCTCATTACGTCCGATTCTCAAACAACGATCCCGAAAACACAAATTACCCACGGGCAACTTGGAAAACAACAAGGACCTTCAAATCTTATTGGTCTCGACTCCGGCAAAGATATCCAATCCCCGTAAAAATCCCCCCACAGAGCAGCAATCGCATCACGGCTATCCTGCGGCGCCCACCCATCCATGCATTAAGATTTGCTGTCGATAGGTCCTAGACACTGCCAACGCTTGCCAACCGGGGACTGCCAGTCGCCTCTCCAAGCGTCGCTGCCCACTCAGCTTGCAGGCCAACACATCAATGCTTCCCAACCCAAACATCCCACACAGCCTGCATGGGTCTCTGGAATTCTTGACGAGCCAGTCCACCCGACACGCCTGACTGATGTTCAGGCCACAATGGAATTTGGCAGTCCAGATGAGGAGGACCGCCTGGCCTCTGCGCTCAGTGTGCAGCGCCAGGTCCATCTCCAGCAACACCAACCGCAACCTCTGGCTTCTCCTCCCCATTACGCACACCAACTCCATCGCCAGCCCAACTTTGACTCGAATTACGACTACCACGAAGCCGACTTCGACCCCGACTCCGATCCCAATCCCTACCACCGCCGATCCGGCTCATCGTCCCACCAATCTCATCGCCACTATCTCCCTGGCAGCCCCGTAACGAACGCCTTCGTCCGCGAGAACTTGGATGCCTCTACCGCCCACACGGCTGGGGCTTTCGCCGCCGCTGGTCATGCTCACGATCTTGTGAACCCGGATGATTTCTATCGAAGCTATCGAGGCGTGCAGTCGTCGAGTCATCACCATCGAACCTCCTCTTCCGATACCGACTACATGGCAACCTCCGTATCTCGAACCCGCGACAATCCGTCCATGCGGCCAAATAGCAATGGCAAAGATCCAAAGCACCCGCCGGCACCAGCAGGCCGTACGGGCCTGCGTCCCTCGCAGCGATCTGCCTCTGCCCCGGTTGAACCCCCTGTCGGCGCGCCAAGGACGAACACAAACCGCAAGCCGAGTGTCAAGGACTTGACCAAGAGATTTGATCAGCAGAATCCAGCGCCTGCCATGCCCCGAATACCGGTGCGAGGCGTGCCGATACGGTCGAATAGAGCTGCGACAAGTGCCGACAAAATAACACCTAGTGGGAGCGGGTCAACACCATACTCTACACTGAGAACTTCGGTGACCCGTGAACTGACATCTGACTCGAGCAGAGGCTCAGCTTCTCGAACACAACGAACGAAATTCGTTCCGGAAGACCAACTATCCAACAATTCCCAGTCCTTCGCCAGCCGGATTTCAAAGCCGCGGAACTCGGGTTCGATCACGAGCAATGCACATGCGTCAAAATCTTTGACAAACCTTCATCACAAATCCCCATCCTTGCCGCCCACCTCCCCCCCACCGCCCAGCTTGCTTTTTGGCGAAATTCTTCCGGGTCAGCGAGATACTTCCATGGTCGGATTCGGGATCGAGGGCTCGGGCCCAAGACCGCGGCGGACGTCAGAGTCAAGTCTCCACGTCAGGCTCCATCAGCGGACGAAATCTGACCCTGATCTCGCCGAGCCGGAGTCTCCAACTGATTGGTACCGCGCTGAGAAGACAAAGCCGAATGATGCGATGGGTCGTTCGGTCCCCGCCGCAAGAGGTCATGTTCGAGCACATAGTGATGTGGCTGCCTCAAAGGCAGGGGCGCCGACGGCGAGAAAAGCACTTGTGCCGCGGCCGATGTCAGAGCTTGAGCTACCCGATCGAGCTGCGTCGCCCACATCGCGTCTCCCTGTCTCTGTCCGAAAGCTCGCCACGCCCAGCGACTCAACGAGTCCGCCTACCACACGAGAAAGCTCCAGAGCCAATTCCCCATCCACGTTCAAGCGTCCTCCGCCAGCAGGCAAAACAAGCCGTACGACCACCCCCGTCACCCGTGCCAAAACGCCCACTATGCGAGCCAAGACACCCACGCAACCCACGCCAGGACGCAAGGCTGCACCCAGAGGTCTCATCACTCCAAAAAATAACACACGTCTTACTGCATATGTAGCAGCACCCCCTCCAAAGCTTTCGCCTCCTCTGCGCAGCTCTCGACCTCGACAATCTGTCTCGACGGCAACCACGGCAAGTTCGCGCATGAAGGCTATTGATAGGGCCAGATCGCCACACAAGAGTGTGCCCAGGCAATCCTCCAAGCCTGAGGAATCGACTCGAAGACGGAAGCTCTCTATCGGACCCATCGACTTCGAACAGAGACGTGAACACATCAGACTGGCGTATACTAAGTCTATCCGCGACAGTCAGGTGCGAGATGCGAGACAGGCGGCTGCAAGGCGCAAAAGAGACCAGGAAGCCACAGCCACCAACGATAAGAAAGGTATTCCCCCGGTGCCACAAATCAAATCCGCATCCCCTTCAGTGGACCAAAGTGAAACGTTCGAGAAACCAAACGAGGCCAGTCCCAACGAACCGGAATCGTCGGCGGAACCTACGTCACCCGAACAACCGCCTCAGCCACTCACAATCTCAACGGCGCTGCCACCCATCGTCTCCCTCTCTCCGCCCCAAGCGCAAGTCTCTGATTCTCCCACCTTGGGCATTCCAGGCAGCTTTCCGGAATTGAGTCCTTCCGACGACCGAGAGCATGTTCCACAATCCGCGATTTCGGCTACATCGGAAACGACAGAGTTCGATAATGAACCGCAAGAGCTCCCACCCGTGCAGCTTGAGTCCTCGCAAGCTCCGACTGGCCTCGGGCTAACGATCCCGCAACCCGACGGGAACCACGAGCAGGCTGAGATAGAGGAAGTGCGACGGACGCCGACGCCAGAGAGGATCGATATCGAGGAGCTGCAACCGTCGCCAGCGCGGGAGGAGACGAACACTGAGACACCGGATGAGCAGCCCACACCAGAGAAGGCCGAATACCAATACCCGTTCGAGGATGAGCCTGCCGGCGATGACCTGGTGTCGATCAAGGTCGCGTTGGATTCAGCATCTCTCCAGCAATCGCCCGAGCCGACACCGACCAGGAGCGAGTTCGAAAACCCATGCATTCCTGGCGCCTTCGCCGGGTCTCCGCCAATCTCTGAGGAATATGAACCCGTTCCTTTCTCGAGCCCTTCGTACGAAACGACGGTTAAGATTATCCGGCGGGAGTCCGAGTATGATTCTCCGCGACAAGACACCATTCCTTTCCCAAGAATGGAGTCCTACGATGACTTTGATGATCGGAGCCAAATTGGTGATATGGATGGTTCCGTCTGCGATGCATCTTACTTTCACCACCATACAGAGAAGGACGTGGACACAGTATCTAGCGACATTCTCGAAAAGCCTGACGACTTTTACAACGACCGCCATAAAGATAACGATTCGTCTCAGCGAGCATCTACATGCGAGTCCTCCGACGCGCAAGATGACCCCCATAAGACGAGTCTCGAGAGCCAGCAAACTCCGGATACATCCCACAGTTTGATGGTTCCATCCATGCATGCAGCAGTTAACCGGTCAAGTCAGCAATCCGCGTGGACGGACTTCTCTGTTGACAGCAACGAGCCCTCCGACCACAGAAACTCTACTCCGGACGACGACCTACCTCTACCGAAGCCACCGTACGCGTCCGACCTCACGTACGGATCCGGCTCTAGCAGAGATTCGTCCGCACGGCAAAGCGAACACTACAGCCCCGATTTCAGCCCGTTGGATACAAGAGCCGCCCTGCTGCCCAGTCGCGGAACCGTTCACCAACTGCCGGAGTTGGACACTGGAGAAGGCTTCTCGATCCCTTACCTCGAGAGCAAGCAGCCAATAGCGATGCCAGGCCAAGTGCCACGTCCAGACCACGAGCCTCCGCCAGTACCTGCTTCCAAGTCGAGGTCACTACATGAGGGCCGGCGGACGGCAGCTAGCAGCTACTACGCCGAAACCCTCCACGGAAGTACCATAACGGGGTCCTCTCGGCGCGAGAGCGAGGATATGTCGCGTCCCGTCTCCACCACTCAGTCAATCGACCACATGTCGATCGATATGAGGGAATATTCCCTTGGCGGTCAAACTCCGGTTGATTCTATCGCAACACCTGGTAGAGAGCAAGATGGACCAACAGGAAAAGAGAGACATCGCCTGGTGCAACGACGCAATGTGATCAGGGAACTCGTTGACACCGAGATGGTATTTGTCAGGGACATGAACATTGTGGAAGAGATCTACAAAGGAACCGCCGAAGCCTGTCCGCGATTGGACGACAAGACTATCAAGCTTGTCTTCAGAAACACGGATGAGATCATCAGCTTTCACACCGCATTCTGCGCACAGCTTAAGGAGGCTGTCTGTACGATATATGTGCCCCATGGACGCCGATCGCCTCTGCCAAAGGAGGGATCGATTGCTTCTGATCACACTGGAAACTCCTTGACCAACTCAGTAGCTCCTGAGTTGGGCGACGACAAGGACAGAGCCACGTCTATTGGGCCACTCTTCAAGAGGAACATTGAGCAAATGAGAGTGGCTCATGAAGGGTTCCTCAGAAACAGTGACCACGCAGCCAAGCGCCTGATTCAGATCCAGCAAGACCCTACCGTGAAGGTCTGGCTAAATGAGTGCAACGAGGTGGCCAAGGACCTTACGGCAGCGTGGGATCTTGATTCCCTACTCATCAAGCCTATGCAGCGAATTACGAAATACCCCAACCTCATCCAAGAGATTCTGCGACATACTCCGGAAGATCATCCGGACCGAGCTGAGCTGATCTCAGCCAAGGAAACCCTGGAGCTGGCGATTATCGAGATCAACAAGACGAAGAAGAACTTTGAGCTTGTTGGTCAAATTGTTGGCCGGAAGAGGAAGGAGTCTGATGTGAAAGCTGGGTTTGCTCGAGCCTTTGGTAAGCGGGTTGACAAGCTTCAGGCTGCAAGTTCGAAGATACCTGAAGATGCCGTATATGCCAAGCTGCACGAGAAGTTTGGTGACGACTACCTTCGACTCCAAGTTGTGCTCAGAGACGTCGAGTTCTATACTCGACAGGTCAGCGCCTACGTTCACGAGTTCCTTCAGTACCTGTCCGCCATGGAGCTGGTCATGCGACTTCAACCGGGCAGTTATCCAGAACTAGAGAGTAAATGGGTGCAATTCAATGTCTCGATGAGGGACATCGAGAAGATTGCCCTGGAAGACCATGTGAGTACCCTGCGGCAGAAGATGTGCTCTACCTGCTAACACGCAAGAAGCTTCAACAGGTTCGGAAGCATGTGATCGAGCCCTTTGAGCACGTCATCAAGGCTTATGGGAATCCCTCGCTCGCGATGAAGAAGCGAGCAAAGCGGCGGCTCGACTATGAAAGAGCAGAGCAACTCAAAAAAGGCGGAAAGACACCAGACCCCAGGCTCAAGGAGCTGGTGGAGCAATACGACGCTCTCAATGAAACTCTGAAGAAGGAGTTACCGCAGCTGTCTGCCTTGACAGAGAGGATTGGTAACATCTGTCTTGGTAACTTTGTCAACATCCAAGCAAACTGGTACAACATTTGGGTGGAGAAGGTGAAGAAGGTCACGGGAGAGATAGGGCCACCGCAAGATATCCCCGACATTGTGTCCACGTTCCAGCGGGATTATAAATACGCACAGGAGCTGTTCACGAATATTGGGATCTTGAACCCAGCATACAAGGGCAGAACATCACAGTCAACAACAGCCAGCACAGAGGATCTTACGTCCAAGCACCGCCCTCGACCTGTTGAGATCTCTTCCCCCCGCGGCAGGGGTTTGTCTGTTAATGGCGACCACGCTCCCATATTACCGACGCCAGACTTTGCCAAGCGCCACAGCGGCCAATTCACTCTCTCCCCCAGCACAGCGCCCCTTAGTCCTCACCAATTCTACTACCGGGACTATTACGCTGGTGCAGCTGTGCAACGACCATCGGTTACCGCATCACCAGTCACAGGAGATCAATCGCCTGTACCGCGGGCAAATTTCCCTCCGTCATCTACCCGACCTGGCACAGGCCAAAGTTACAATACAAATGGTCTACCGAGACAGAGTTCAGAATCAACAGCAAATAACAGGAGAGACTCAAACCCAAGCCACCAATCTGGCAGCGAATCGCGAAGGTTCTCAGGTCTATTCCACTCTGCTCTTCCGATGCCAGATGGCGTGGAAGAAAGCCAGAGGTCCTCGCGAGCATCTTCACGTGAGCGTACACCAGCTGGAAACGGATATAACGTGCTTTGGCTGGCGGCATCACTCTTCGAGTTCAACATTGAAACAACAAAGCATGAGGCTGGGTACCCGTACCTCACGTACCAGGCCGGCGAGGTAAGTCCTTGACATGCCCTCTGCTGTGGCTCAACAAGAAGCCTAACTGACCATCTAACTAGATTTTTGATGTCATTGCCGAAAAGGGCGAGCTATGGCTTGCCAAAAACCAAGACGACCCTGATGACCAAGTTGGTTGGATTTGGTCCAAGCACTTTGCAAAACTGGCTGATTCATAGAGCCCTTGCCCACGCGATCGCATAGCCAGCGTTTTCAAAAGTATTCGAGACGATTTATTTCTTTTATCCATGGGCAAGCCAACGTCTGTGTGCAGTCAGGCACATGTACGCTGACAAAAGCTTGTGAGCTTAAAAGGCTACTGAGCTGGGGGTTTGTTCATCCCCGCAGCATGTATTATTGATGACAGGGAAAAGAGGCTCGGCCAACGAATTCATTTCTCATTGCAGGGAAGGATGGTGAGACTCGGACCAAGTCAGTGGTGGACACGCACCACTCCAAACGTGTACACTTGTTTCCTGCCTTTACTTTTTGTTGTCTTCTTCCTTTTGTCGCTTCTTTTTGTGCTCAAGATGGAAACGAGAGATGGCGTTTGATGGAGGCAATATAACGAGGCCTTGACGGATGGAACGCAATCATGCCAGCCGATACAAGACATCGACAGCAGCTTCTCACAGAGAAGGAGAGAAGTTCAGCAATGAAACCTTTGGGGAGCGTTCCGAGCGTTGTTCGTTAAGCCCGTAAAGGGAACGGAAAGGGGGGAGGCGTGTTAGGCGTTGGAGTTGCCTCGCAGTCAGAACTGCAGGCTTCACTTGTTTGTAGCTTTTAAATATCCAAATGGGACATGTGTCGGAATTGCCAAGACCTCTCCAGCGTCGATGCTTGCTCCATAATATGATATGCATGTGCCCATGGCATGCAGCGTCAGGTAGGCATACATAGTGCTGTCTGTCTCATGGGCATATGGGACTGACTGGTTGATTGTGAATGCATGTCAAGTCTTGCGATTCTTTACTCTATACGAAAACACACATACAAACAAGAAAATGCTCTGCTCAACTTGGCATCGTCACTCCAAACCAGGGGAGGAGGACCAACGCCGGGGAAAGCAAGACGAGATGAGCCGCCGACATAAACCATGTTCTGACTACTATAGCCGTATGACATATTTGTTGTGTTTTGTTTGTGCCTTGAAACTCCGAGCGCCCGCCATGGAACTGAAAACAGATTCGACCATCCGCTTACTGAAAGTCATCGTCATCTTCGCCAGCTTTCTTGCCGTCGCCGGCACCCTCCTTGCGTATGGGAATCTTTATGCCCTGCGTTGCGAAACACTTACTCAAGGGGGTGCTCTCGCAGACACCGGGAAACTTCTTGGCCGAGAAGACCTGGAAGACGTCGCTGAAGGTCGAGGCGAGGATCGGCGCGGTTCCTTGGTTCACTAGCGAGCCGTCTGCCGAGGACTGATCGGGGGGCCTGGCGACATTGACAAATGAGAAGCGCAGCCTGTGTAACCACTGTCAATGAAAACCCATATGAAAGTAGTAAAGTAAAAAATGAAAAAATGAAGAAAAACTCTTAAGCGGCCCCTTGAGGGGTTTCACGTTGAGGCGCTTACCTAAAGTGACCCTCAGTCCTCACGCTCAAATCCTGCATGATAAACCAGATTCCAACGTGGTCTTCCACGTCATTGAGCTTGAATGCACTCGACGCCGTGCTCCCGATGAGGTTTCTGGTAAACATGCCCTGCGGCTGGCTAGCGGCCATGGACAGAGACTGGCGGTGAGCGCCGTACGCCATGTCGGCCTGCGAGGGCACAGGCGCCGGGTTTGCATGCTGGGGAAAGTATTGAGTCGGGGGAGCAAACTGGGGGTTTGATGACTGGTAGGCAGCTGCGCAGGCAGTCAGTACTCCGTAGTGCTGCATGCGCTTCCTTTCTCCATCGGGCAACTCACGCTGGTAGCTCGATCCAGAAGGCATACCGTAGCCCGGCATCATATGCTGCTGTGGCGGAGGAGGCTGCTGTTGGGCGTAGCCCATGGGCGCGGAGCCGTAGCTCGGCATCATCTGGGAATAAGCCTGCATGGGCTGGGCGGGCGCTTGACCCTCCTCCCGTAAGGCCGAGTACGAAAAGGGCTGGGTGGTCGATATTGAGGCCGTGTTAGATGAGTGCCTCACAAGATTCACCTCTGAGGTACCGTCCTCGGACCACAGATCCACCTGGATCACGTAGAAGGTCGAGTCGATATCGCTAACGAGTCAGGATCAGCGCCAAGGCCCGGGGTGACATTCCACAAAGCTTTCAAGTCGCACGTACTTGGGGTTAATCTCTTGACCGGTCTTGGCGTCTCTTACGACGACCTTGATACAAGGCGGAGGGGTGATGGGGCGCCGGTCCTGTTTTGGTATTTTATTAGCCACCAAGTTGTACCAGGTGTCGATGAACGGCGGAGAGCGAGCAGGCTCACCTTATCGCCAAAGCCGCACATGCGGGCTCGCTGGGGTTGCTGCATCACGACAAGTCTGGCAGCCACCACGTCAGTCCGGTCGCCTCATCAAAAAGTGTGACGGGGGTGGCGTACTCGTATTTCCTACCTATATCATCGGTCTTTGACATGGGGGCGGGCACGGCGTTCTGAACGGCCTGCTGGCCTGGCGCGCCCGAGGATGCGCTGGGGGCAGCCGACTGATGATGTTGAAGGGGCATTCCGTTGGGCGGCATGTTCGAGTTGGAAGGCAAGGGCGCGGGTGCCGGGTATCCCATAGGAGGGAGCTGAGGCATCTGGCTCGAAGGATGTTGGTGATGTTGGGGAGCGGCCTGGTGGTGTTGCTGAGGCGGAGGAGGAGGAGGAAGATGGCTGTAGGGACCAGGGGCCATGTGGTGGTAACCGCCTGGGGCTGGGTGATGCTGATCGTAATTCATGGCTTGGGGAATCTTGGTTGCGACAAGACTTGTCCCGTGGTGGCGGTCGTGATGTCTCCCGTCGCGGAGTAGAGGTGGTGGCGAGCTGCAGATAAGGATGGCACACGAGATTAGCAAGGAGGCCGCAAAGAGAAGCGCGGAACGGGAAAGTGTTTGCGCGGGCACGAGATGAGAGAGGATGGGGGGGGAGCGAACGGTACCTTTTCTCGATCGACAACCAGATGGAATGAAGAGCTGGGACGGCAGTAGTAAGGATCAGTAAGAGTCGGGTCAGGCTGGGTTCATATAGCAGCACAATGGTGCTTTTGGGTTTCGGAGACAAGACGCTCGACCTTTTGCACGGTACCGTGGTAAGCAATGGCGAGGTAATAAGGTATTGTGCAGACAAGGTAGGTAGGTTGTAGACAGAGAGGCGCGAAAGCTGAGCAAGCCACTCAAGTTGTGCAATTGAGCGTGTGTGACATGGGGGGGGGGGGGGGGGGGCAGGCAGTCTTGGGAAGCGGAGGAGGGGAGAGGGGAAGGATTGGATGCGTTAGAGTCCAAAGGGACGACACTGGTAACTGGCAACTGGGGGGTGCGCGTTAAAAGGTGGATATGCGAATAGCCCGTGTGTACCGTGAGAGCGGCCGCGGGTGGTTCTTGGGTGGAAACATACATGGTGACTGTGGAAGGATGGCAGGCACATCGGGTGGATGGTGGTACGTGCGTGCTATACCGCACCAAGCCGCGGCATAATAGAGAAGGAGCGCATTCATCCATCCATCCATCCATACGGAGTACATACATGCATACATGCATACGTACCTAGTAGGTAGGTAGACACCATCCGTACCTTCCTTGCCTTGCGTATCCATACATGCGCACGCGCGTACACTACCTACACGTTTATCTGTATACAACCTACCTAGGTACCTATCTATCTACCCAACTTACCTACCTACCTAATTTGGGCATACACGCAGACTTCTATTCCCGACCGGCACAGCAGAGTTAGAGGCGGAGCGGAGAGCCTGGATGCATGCATGTCGCGACGGGAGCCACAACCCCAGCGTCCCTCAGAACAAGCAATTTCTTACACGGCATCCCACCCATACCTAGGTGCCTACCAAAGCCAGAGAACAGGGACTGTTCTTTTTGGCAATTAGCCAGTCCCAAATATTCGAACCTCGTCTCGTCCTTCCCTACGCCACCATTTCACGGGCAAACAGCAAACACCCGCTTCCCAAACGTAGACGGCAGGCCACGCGGAGTTTCTTTTTTGGGGCGAGATTACCGCCGTGCCTGCTGCTGTGGCTGGGCTTGGCATGGCCGGCAGCAGCAAATGCAGTGCAAGTGCAAATCCTCGCCTGGCGGCTGCTGGCTGCTGTCTGCTTGCTGGCTGCTGCTCTGTCTCGTCTCCTCGTGCTTCTTTGTGTTGCAGCCGCGGTGGGTACTGGGACATGTGTGATGCGCGAGACTGGAGTTTGGGACTGTCTGCACCGCACCTAAGGATGGATCCCGTCGAATGCTGGATCCGATTGCTAATCTCCATTGGCTTCCTCATCCGCCGCCTTCTTGCGCCTCGCCTCCCTCCCCCCTCTTCACCGTCGCTAGCAGGGAAGTCGACTTTTTTTTTTTTTTTTTGAAGGGGGGCATGCATGCGCCGTGCTGTATTGCGCGCGCCGCCGCCCTGTTCCTGGAGACTTGGTGCGGTGCAGGGGCCAGCAGCCCAGACGGACCTCGTTACGTGCATTCATTTATGAATCCTCCTCGCTCGCTGACTTGCTTGTCTGCATCGCCGCCCTGAGAACATGGGCTGCCAGTAGCCATTTCAAATCATCGTCCCTTTTTTATTTGCTCTGCAGATGACACAACTCGCCCCGTGTACTAGTGTAGTAATGTACGACACCGCACATGGCACCTCACTCCGCATGTCGTGTACGAATACCTACAGATAGTCACCCTTCCTCCCCTTCTCCCCCCCCCTCCCCCAAAAACACCTAACGGCTTCGCCATAAGTTGCCATCTCGACGTGGTCTTGTCCAAAACGTGTCTCACTTTCGACGCTGACTTGGAGACAACTGCGTTTTGTCTTGGACGCACCACGAAACCAGACATTCCTCTTCGTCATCCGTCCTGTCCAAACCGCCACCCCCCCGTTCCCGACACTCCGGTCCTCGACCCAACCCGCGCATAACCAGCCATTGACACCATGTCCGCGCGCTCTATGCCAAACCATTCCCCCGGCGCCAGCGAAGGATGACGGGACATCGAACAAACATACCCACCTACCGCATCCATCATTCCAGCTGCAGCTCCTGTCTCCGAAACGGGGCCGACCGGTCCATCAGAAGCCCACTCGCTGTCTTCCGCGCCGCCCTCCCCTCCGTCGCTGCGCCTATCCATATTGCATATCCGTACCCTTGTATCCTGGGGGCCTTACGAGTCGTTTTCTCGGTACCGCCCTCTTCTTTCTTCTTTTGCCCCAGCAAACTGTCTGGCTCGGACTTGTCGGGTGGCTATGATGTGTGCCGCGGAAAGGCCTCATCTCCCGATGGCACAGAGTCCAACCCCCCCCCCCCCCGACGCAACCCTGATTGTCGGCAATTGCATCATCTCCACCCGCTATGCTCGTCCATCGAATGGGCGAGCTCCGCTGGGCCCCATGCCTTTAGTCAACGACGCTGGAAATGAAACCGGGCCTGCTCGTTGTCCTGGTGCGCATTATACCGGTGATCCTACCAGCTTAACCCACGTATAGCCACCCTCGGGAGCCGTTTTTGGTCGCATGTCGCATGTCGCATTTGAATTTTCTTCTACCTTGCTCATGTGCTCCCGAGCTCTCGTTCAGGGATGGCCAGACCATCCACGCTTTGGAATGCTGTTCTGCATGATCTCTGCCATTTCCCCTGGAGCACTTGCTTTTCGATACGCAAAGGTCTCGGCCGGCCAGCAGTGGTTTCCAGAGAGCTGATCGGCCGTGTTGGCACAATGTCGGTCTGCCACGCATGCGATGCCGTGCAAGCCAATAAATCCAGTTTGATAGTCCTCAAAACGCCAATGAATCCTCTGCAGTGACAGATGGCGCCGCGTCATCGGGGTGTGGTATGTGACCCCACGCACGGCGGCCACGCTTTGATGAACCGATAGACACTTTGCATCGATATCACAGGACTGGTACTCTGTACATAGATGTTTATAAGAGTACCGTACATTTGAGGCAAAGGACAGGTCCCAAATGCCAGGCGGCGGCTTCTTCAGGGGTGCTTGCGTTGCCCGGTTCAGCTTTCTGCCTCCATGTATGCCAGGGAGTGTTGCGCTATTTTATGCTACCATCGCTAGGCATGCACAACACGCTGCTAACCGTCCACGAAGAACCAACGAACCAAAGGCAAAGTCTACACCAGTACGGGGGTAGAGTACCCGTCGAGGCCAGCTCAGATGGATGCTTCTACCCAGACCGCCAGCCATTCATCTGAAGATGAGATGGCAGACTTCACCGGCCCCGCACCCCTTTATGGTACCGAAGTTTGAGGAGCCGCCTTGTCCGTGGTCATTGCCCCTCTAAGGACCAGAGAGAGGCAGAAGACTTCAGCAGCTACAGCGTCCGCGCGTCATCCCGGATGCCATTCAGATAAACACGTAACCACGGCCAGCAGTGATCATTCCCAACGGCATAACAGTCCTTTTAGGGCCAAGCCAGGTGCCGATAAGAGCCAAGAATCGACGCCCTCCAAATCTTGAAGTCGTCGCTCTTGGGGTACAGCAAGGCCTTCCCAGCCAAGGCCCTGCGAGACGCGCGGATGCCGGTGGTGTCGCCGGACGAGCTCGCACAGGGTCGGTCTCAGCCAATACCGGACGCCGAAGGCAAAGTTAGCGGTCCGAATTGTCGTAAGGGCGTCCTAGCGTGTGTGATATGGAGCTCTCTCGGGGGGGGGAGACAGGAAATCTTCGAGGTCCAGTGGAAGGACTTGGTGGTCCATCTTCTGAAGGCCGCCATGTCTTCTGCTTGGCCCAATGTCCTTCATGGTATTGAAATAGAAAGGAGACCTCATCTCCTCACTGATCTCGCCTTTGCAGTCCGTCGAAAGAGACGACCGAACTGCAGCACCGCCGTTTAGGTAAGCCCCGGGCTAAGGGTTGGCAATATTGACTGTGAAGGTGTAGTCGTCTGTGACTTTGTGACGTGCTGGTCGACCTATAGCATGGCTATAGGTCCGTCTGCCACCCTCGTTGTCTGTCTCCCTGGTCTCTTTGATAATGGAGACATCCGGTATGCCATCAATCTCGCCATAGAGGAAGTTGCAGCCGGCCGCAGCGTAGTCCCGACCGACCTGTTGTCGCGTTTCGGGTGGTAACGCAACATATTCATGTAGGTCCTCTGCTTGTGGTTTCGGGCCAGTTGCAGTACGGCGCAGATTCTTCTGCGCGCATGCCGTGGATGATGTCGTCATACATGATGAGGCCGGCGTTCTCTCTGCGATCCGCCTCGGCGGAGGTGCCGCCGCCCGAGCTGTGACTTTCACGTGAGGAGCCCAGCGTCACTTCGACGCCGGTAATGAGACTGTGTTCCCGCTTGACACGCCAAGTTCCGCGATCGGCCGAACGGGGCTGCTGTCGGTGGTGGGCTAAAGGGGGAAGGGGGAGGGAGGTAAATGAGACAGGACGCGGGCCGGTCTCATGCGATTGAGGCGGTCCGACCTTGGGCCGTTTTGGGTGTGCGCGTCGTTAACAGGAACGGGTGACGGCGGCGCATGTCGGTTGGCACGATGCTCCGAACGTCTTTTGGAAGGGTGTTCGTAGCGGCGTCGAAGGAAATCCAAACACGAAATCGGATGCGCGTCACCCGCCCACTCACGACCAACCATCGGAGCGGGTGCAGATTCGCAGGCAGCCGGGCAAGACTTGGACAAGGGCCGAGAACGGCGGGGGGGGCGAGGGGACATGGACAAAGTAAGTTCAGAAAAGATACGGGCTAGTTTAGCTTTCGCAGCCGCCTGGATCTCCCGTTAGTCCCCAATATACCCGAACGGTCGGCGGCGGTCACGAGGAGGGCCAATCAACTTTGCAGCACAGGCCGTTCTAGGATACATAAACGTCTATTTTTCAAGGTTCATGGGATGGCGTTTTTTGACCCCATCACGAGGCGGAGTGTGCAGAATGTCGATTCTTACCGCTCGGCGAGCTCTTGCAAGGCCCCCCTCTCTCTGTCTCCTTTATAGAAGACTGGGGTTGCGTCGAAACGCAAGCCTGTGACTGGCCAGTGCCCGTTGGCAGGACTCATCATTACGTACGATCAACACGACGTTCATTAACATCTAGGAAAATCCGGGGTACGGGATGGACCTATATTCCTGTACATCGGATGGGGCTTTCTGCACGATCCAACACCAGTGGGCAATTGGGCCGGCGGTGGCTTGGACGAGGGCAGGACGGGAGCCGGCTGGCAACGGCATCTTGGTCGGTGTCCTCTCACCAGAGGCTGGTCTGCTTTGCGCGAGTAAGCCACGAACTCGCGACATTCGTGCCGGACAAACAGCAGTGAGAATGCGGGATCCTGAGAGAAACAAGGCGAGGCCGGTGGACGCCAGGGAGCCTACCTAGGGAGGAAGTTGCAAGGCAGCCACCGGCGCGGACCGAGAAAATCTAGGTGGGAAAGAAAGAAAAGAAAAGAAAAAAAAACATTACAGCCCTCTCTGGCGCTGGGAAATTCGCGCAACGCCAAGAGCGCTTGCGGGGTTTCCGCTGCCTTGAAACAAACCATCTAATTCCCATAGGGGAAGGACTTGGATTGTCGAAAATGCCGTCTAAGAAGACGTGGGTTACTCGCTGGCTGTCAGTCATCATGCGGTCTTGAATTCATTCCGGTGAGGTCACAAGCTCATCGGACCAAGCCGTGGCCGAGACCACCCCTGCACGGGTGAGAAAAGCAAGCAGGCAATCCGGGGTAGAGTGGTCGCCTTGCCATTCGCCGCTGAATCCAGACCGCCAACCAACTACACACAAGTTCGAAAACCGACGTCGATTGATGGTTGAGCCAGCCTCTTTCTAACGGTCGTTTGTTGGCTCGGTTCCCTTCACACCGGATTTTGCCGCTTTCTCTTGACAATTATCCAATGGGGGAAGAAGAAGAAAAAAAAAGGGCAAAAACGCCATTGCTAAGTCGCCGATGGCGAAATCCGAGAAACCACTCCCTTCCCCTTCTCTTTTCTGTGTTTGTCATGGGCCAAAATGGAACGGGTTGGAAGATTTCAATCAAGTGACACAAGCGCCAGGGAATGACACCACCTTGAACCTTGCCTATCCCAGGCAAGAGCCGGTCAGGGACCTGGGGGGAGGGCGGACCTTTCGGGAAAGGGAAGGGAGAAATGTGGTGTTTTCCACTGGATCTCATGTTTTCATTACGTTTCTCAATGGAGCCCTCCCCCCAATGGCTTTCACCCAAACAGAGTTGCAACGCTGCCACAACGCCTCGAAGCTCCCAACACAATTGGGGGGGGGAACGACAGAGTCCGCCCCCCCCCCCCCCCCCATTCAAAGATCTCCTCCGTTTCTCTCTTGCCGGGTCAAGCGCGAGCCGTCGCGGTTGGAGCGCAGTAGGTAGGTAGCTAAGGTGTAGCCTAGGTATCCACATTGAAGAGAAGAAAAAAAAAAGTTGGAAAAGCCCACATCCGCAAACCTGTAAGGCCGAGCGTCGGTCAGTCACTTCACTGAGCCAGACGATTCCCCCGGCCCCCCCAATGGCGCGTATGTGGAGAAGAGAAAAAGGCAAGAGCCAAGAGTCTAGTAAGAGGAGAGAGGAAAAACAATAACAAATAAAAAATAAAAAGCTCTGCCTGGCCTTGTGATCACTTTCGATGGCGCACCCTACATTACACTACGTCAGGTTAGATCGGGCCAAGGATCGACTCGCGACGCCATGCTTTGGAAAGGTCGCGCAATAGCTGCTTGCGGCCAGATCCCCTCGAATCCCACCCCTCCCATCCTTGTTCGAGCTGTAGCTTAAAGCAGAGACAGGCAGGTGTTGTGTCTTTTCTGCCGTTTCCTATTTAACTCCTTTGTCCCGCCTGCTTCCCGTCTGCCTCCTCCTGATCCTTCCATCTGCTGTTGGCCAAAGCTTGACTCACAACTCCAACACCGGACGAGACTCTCCTTCAGACCAAAGTGGCAAGGACAACATCCGTCACTTACTCTTCCCAGTGGTCTATCTCTTCTGCATTTTCCAGCGTATTCTGCGTTGCCTCTCGACTCCAAAATTCAGACTCACGACAATTACACGACCGCGTCCTTTCACGGTCTGGAGACAAAACTCGCATAAACAGACGATAGTTACCCAATTAAAAAAAACCAATCACAATGCTTGCTTCCAGTGGCCGAGGTGGCGCCGGTAACATGACCGAGAACTCGCCCAAAATCACCCCAGAGGACCTCGAAACGCCAACCCTCAAGACCTCAGTCGTCACGACAGGGAGGGGAGGATCTGGAAACATGGCCAAGAACTCCGATCCTTATGAGACTCGTCTTCGTCAAGACGTTGAGGCGTGAGTTCACCACCCCTTCTCGGGCTCGAGACGACGAAACTGACCACCCTTTCCTAATGCAGTGTTCCCCGCCGCGACAGTGGCGGCGCAACCCACTATGGCAGAGGGGGAGCCAATGTCTTCAAGGATTCCCCAGAGGAAGAGGCGGCCGCTCGCAAGGCCGGGGCCGAGGGTGCGGGCACCGTCGACGACGACGAGCAGCCTGCGCTCCGCAAGAGCCCGTCTCCCGGGGACAAGGGCAACAATGGCCTGGCTGCCAAGGGCAAGCAGTGGCTCAACAACCTTACCAAGAAGGCTTGAGGGTCCTCTTGTGTTTGCCTGAACCCCCGGAAACAAATTCATGCCGATATTATGCACGCTCCTGGACCCAGCACCCGACTTGCTACGAGGCCGGTTCTTCAAAGTGCTAAGAGGCGGCCCTTGGGAGCTGTGCGGATTGTGCTCTTTTTCTTCTTTATTCTCCCGAGACGGTATGGGCTCGGGAACCGGGTAACCGAACGTCACCGAGGCTTCGGTGACAGACGGCTGGGATTCCCCTACGGCGTTCTTTGGAAGCGTGGTTGAAAACGTTGGAAACGATACAAATTTTTTTAAAAAGTTTTCGATACCATATTTGGCGATATAAGGGCTACGGCGAGTAAGGGGGGGAAAAGTACATCATGGAATTCATCAACTCTTAATCATCCACGCTCGCTAAGCGCCGCTCGAGTCCGGTACGTAGACGTGGTGATGGTCCTCATTGGCCAGGTCCAACCAACGTGCGAGACACCGGGCATGCAGACAGTCTTGGTCCGGATGAAACTGTCCGTCTTTCTCAGTAGGTTATCACTATTTTTATTGGGGATTCTGCCCGACAGGCTTTTCAAGGTTGAGATGTCATGTTCCAATATTCGCGCCCGTCTCTAGCAAGACACTGAGAGATTTTTGAGACCATATCACCCCATTTCTCTCCTCTTTTTTTTTTGATGCACCTGTATGGGTATTCCGTTGACATTCGACGATGCATGCCTTTTTCATAGCCCCGTAGTCCTACACTCCAAACCCAGACAATCGGTTGTCCTCCCAGCCTAGTTGCCTGCCAAACGGTGAATCTCCGACAGGTAAAACCTGAGGTCCTCGGGGTTGACACCGGGGGTGATGCCTAATGCAATGTCAGTCAAAATTGCTCGCCATGTCTCTCCACCGGATTAGGAATGGGACGCATAGGCTTACCGTGGCCAAGGTTGGCAATCCAGCCCTTCTTGCCACCGCCGAAACCCTTGACCATCACCTCAACAGCCTTCGTCATGGCCTCGTGGGTGCCGTACAAGACACCCGGGTCGGCATTGCCCTGGAAGGTGATGCGCCTGTCGCCGCGGATCTTGACAGCGTCGGCGGGGTCCTGGAGCCAGTCGAGGCCGACGACGTCGTAGCCAATGTCAATGACGGAGTCCAGGGCGTGCCAGGCGCCCTTGGGGAACACCGTCATGGGCACGCGCTCGAGGTTCATCTCGGCGAGCTTCTTAGGCAGGTTAGCGGAAATGTACGCCAGGTACGGCTCGCTGAACTCCTTGAAGGCCTCGGGGCCGAGCTCGCCGGCCCACGAGTCGAAGACCATGACAAGCTGGGCGCCGGCCTTGACCTGCAGGGCGAGGTACTCGACGCAGACCTCTGCGATCTTTTGCAGGAGCTTCTTGGACTCCTCTGGGTGACGATAGATCCACCTCTTGCTCTGCATGAAGAGCTTGGTGCCGCCGCCCTCGACCATGTAGCAGAAGAGGGTCCAGGGAGCACCGCAGAAGCCGATGAGGGGCACGCGGCCGGCGAGCTTCTTGCGGGTGAGGGTGATGGCCTTGTAGACATAGTCGAGCTCGGCGGCGACGTCGACGGACTTGCCCAGAACCTTTTCGTACTGACCGTCGTCGGGGGCGCTGAGCGGGTCGGGGAAGTGAGGGCCCTTCTTGTCGACCATCTCGACCGTCATGCCGAGAGCCTGGGGCACGACCAGGATATCGGAGAAGATGATGGCGGCATCAAGGAGGCCGGCGAAGCGCTCGATGGGCTGCAGGGTGAGGGTGCTGGCGACCTCGGGGTCACGGCAGCAGGCGAAGAAATCGCGGTTGCCCTTGGCCTCGTGGTACTCGGGGAGGTAGCGGCCGGCTGTTATGAGGTGGCGAAGCAATATGTCAGGAGGCTGTTCTTGTGTTCATGTCCTATTCATTGGATGAAGAGGGAGGTAGGATCATTACCTTGACGCATGATCCAGCATGGCGGGCGCTCGACCGTCTCGCCTGGACCGATGTTAGCATGTGCACGGGATTATTGCAACGTTTGAGGCTCTTAGAATATGGAAACGAGGCATACCTCTTGCCGCCCGCAGGAGCAGATCATTCTTCAATGGCTCAAATGTCAATTCCATTTTGTCGGCCTGCTGTGAGAATATGTTGTGGAATGCCGATGCTGGAGGTGCCGGTACGTGCGGAACGCACAAATGCAGGATGCCCCGCGGCTCGCCTGCTGGAAACCCCCGCCAAAGCTCACCGTCCATCATTGGTGCTTGCAAGCTCCTTCTGAGCTTGGCACCAGCCACAGTGAGGCTTGACAAAGCGCCCTATGGATAGAAGTGGGCCCTGCAATCCCAAAGCTCTTTCGACCTGGCAGATTGTCGCTCCATCACCAAACAGCAATCTAGGCGCCTCCCATCGAATCAAACCGAGCCAATTGGCAATCAACAACCGCGGTCCAACTGGGTAGCCATTGCCAGGTTCAACACTTCAACGAACAATGGCATAGGTTGATGTCGCGGATAACTGATAACTTCTCGCCCGGGTTGCCATTCGACCGACCGCCTTCGCGATCTGCTCCCGATGCCGCCGTCACGTCCTACCGCGCGCTGCTGCCGAGCAGTCCAGCAACAGATTGGGGCACCACTAGACAACATATGGATCACGGACGGCGTGCTGGCGAGTGCCTTTGAGCGCTATTGCCATGTATCACGACTCGCGAGGCGGAAGTCGAGCTCCGTGCCCGGCCCGCTGGAAAACAGGAGACGACTGGGCAAGCGAAGGATGACGGACATGCACATAAACAGTCAGCCGACACTGCCTCCTTGGGCAATCGAATTCTTGCCTGACTTGAGGCAGTGGACCTGGCAGCCGCCAACAAAACGATCATCGGAAGAGAACATGGTTCTACCGAGCCAGCAACGCCAGTTCGTGCCGTGGGGGATCTCGAGGTGGTGGACGAACAAGGTTGAGCGACAACAGGAGGAATCCGATACAACTGCGGTCGAGAACCAGCCTGAAATCGAATTTCGCAACCGGCTCGCCAAAGCCCGAGCAGCCGTTGCGGCTTCTACCTCGAACGCGATCAGTCCGGCATATTTCAACTTCATCGGGGGTTTGCAACATGACATCGAATTGGGCATACTGGACCCCGAGATGGTGAACATAGCTGTATCGACCTTTCCGTCATCCTTGGTCGGCACAGGTGTCGACGGCGAAGTGGTCAATGCTTCCACCGAGATGTTTCTTTCGGCCGTTGTCAACGGAATCGCATCTTCCAAGGTTTTTGGACCGACAGAGTTTGACGCGAGCCTTTGGAACCTAGTGCTGCGCCAGATCTCCCAATTGCCCGCCAACGACGCTACGACTCTTCTATTCAAGACTACCCTAGATGCGATCCCCCTCCACCATGTCGACGATGTCCACGAGGATATTATTGCTGCAGTGCAAAAACTAGCTGTGTGTCATTCGCCGGAAGACGGACGGGCCGCGGACATTGGCGCTGCGTTCCACCGTTTATCGCCTGCCGACCATGGCGTGCTACTCGACAAGATGGAAACCGCGGTCTATGAAGGTTCGGCAGCCTTTGAGGAGGAGCCCCGCCAAAAGCTTCGCTTCCTTTGGCTGCAAATCTTGGCCCACATGCCGCATGTTAACACTGACTACCTTTTGGACGCATGCGTCAGGTCTGCCTACTTTGACCGCAAGGAGCTCAGCGTCGACCGAGATCTCAGCCGACTACTCATCCAGCAATGGACTAGCCGCGGGTATCTGTGGTACCACAAAATAGTCGAGGAGAGGTGGGATCGCGATTCTTCCTGCCACGCAGAATTGAATTTCGCGTCGCTGGTTGCCCACATTTCCTTTTGGGAGCCGGCAGGTCACAGGGAAAACCGACGTGTGGCGCTCCTGATGAGCTTGTTCAAGGCGCTGAGACGGTTGGACCGTGAGAAGGTGCTTATGGCTTCACTGCAACGCTACTGCAAGGCTAAGAAGAAGCTATCAATTCTGCCGTTTAGGAATCTCGCCATGGCCAGTTGCGACTACAAGATCGCTCTCGAGATATTCATGTTACTGGACGATCACAGGGCCAAGTTGAAACGTAGCCTCGCAAAGCAGTGGGCCTGGACGGACTGGGCTACGGATCATATCAAGTCTATGATCGAAGACGATTCTATCAGCCCCGCTTTCGTCTGGAAGGTGGTCAACTGCGGCGTCAGAAGGGGCTTCCTGAATAAAGTGCAGGAACAGATATATATGAAGAGGAGGGCGAGGCTGATGGAGGACATGGCGTTGTGGTTCTCGAAGAAGTACCATCGAACGGACGCCAAGGCACTACGGCAAGTGTGCTTATGCATCGGTTGGCTCCGCGGGCACAACATCGCGCTGTCACATAAGTCCCTTGTGGCGGTGTTGACGGTGGTCTCAAGGGAGCTCAAAAGGGGCGAGCGTGGACGGACTCGTCGTCTATTCTGGCTCGTGAATCTCGTGGAACAATATCAGGGCCCTGAGGAGCGACGGGCTGTCGCAAAAGTGCTCGAGCGGTGGAGAAGAGCCAACGCGGACCTGTCTGTATGCGGTGTTGATGCGTCAAGCCGATGAGCGGGCTCCAAGTTGAACAGAGCAGGGTCTCGTTAGAGAATGGGACACACGAAATGAATACATGACATCCTTTGGCCAAGCAGTGAAAGGAGATAAAAAATCGACTGTGAGACGGTGAGACATGAGGCCTTGGGCATCGACCTTTAGCGGCGCAAATCATGGCGCTGGCGCCTGCGGTGTTTTGTGTGCCTGAAGGGAGAGAGAGAGGAGGGATGATGATTGGCGATGCGCGAGAGGCGCTAGAGATGCAGAGAGCAACAAAAAATAAGGCGAGCCGGCACGGATCGGGGAGACCCAGGAGCGCCAATGAAGGTCTGCAATGGGGCAGATGCCTGCTTCGGATCCGTGACGGGTGCCCTTTTGTCTCTCGTTTTTGCCACGAGGATGGTGAAAGGAGGGGCCTGGCGGCTGGAATGGAGCAGAAGACGCCGCGGAATACACGACCACATCCAAACGGATTTACAGTTTTGCTCTCGGCCGCGTCCGAAGGTGAGTCAAGGTGACAAGGTGAAGCCAACCCAGGCCGCATGCGTCCGAGTCGAGGGTCATTCTCTCGGAAGACGGATCGAATTGCTCTTTGTCTGCCTGCCGCGCCCTGATGAATGAGACATGGCCTTCCCGGTCCTCAAGACTGTCGGGGGAGGTTGTGGCCCGGGTTGGATGTTTCGCTGCCCAACGATTCCACGTGTGTTGCTAGATGTCGCGGACGGCCGAAGATGATGGGGGGCAGGGTTTCTGTCGCTTTGTTGACAACTAGTGATCCATTCCGGAGAGAGAGACCAACCCTCCTCATCTGTGTCCATTGGGTCCGGGAGAACTGGGCCAACGAAAGCGCCTCGTAGCGGATGTGACGAAGAGGGTGTGGGTGGGTGAGGGAAAGCGTAGGTAATGTTGTGTCGTGTACCTACATTCGGCCGCTTCAGACACATCAGGCAGGAGAAGCAGGAGACGAAACAGGATGCATGAAAGCCACGAACCCGCATACCTAGCCGATGACAGTCGGAAACCTCGGGTTGTGGAGACGAGATGAGGACCTGCTCGAAGCTGCTTTTAGATTGTTGTTCGGTGTAAATTGGCGTTGCCACTTGAAGCTCTCGGTTCGTGGTGGTTGGGAATGCGTGGAAGTCCGATGATGGAAGCGGGCCACCGTCCATCGCTAGTGAAGTGGGACGAACCCTGCGGCGCTCATGCAGAGAAACCTACCTGAAATAAACGCGGGCAGGGTCTCATCGATAAGGTATCGCCAAATGACGGGACTCGGACCAACTCATGTCTGGACTGCATCGTAGCATTTTGGGTCTTTGAAGTAGATATTTTTGGCCCATCAAGTGGTAATGGTAGTGGACTCTTCAGGGGGGGGGGGCCAAGTCCACGTAGGCTCCTGCTGCAGCTTGGGAACTAACTGCTCAGCCCAGGCAGACTGCCAACTGGCCGTTCCCCTTCCATCTCGTCTTTGAAATTACGTGCAGGAACGATGGGCAGAGAAAAAGAAAAGATGATGGGAGGCTCCTGGGCCAGTCAGAGGTCAGAAGGTGTAGTCCACATCGGTTCTCGGTCGATGACACCGATGTTAGACTATATTTGTGTACCTACCTGTGCGACCTTAAGAGGGACCGCCATGACACCTCAACAACACCCGTATTCAGACGACAGCTCTGGGCGCATTGGAGGGGGGGCAGCACTGCATTGGGTATTTGCATTCAACGATGCGCGCATCACCGGTTACTAGCCATCGATAAACCCCAGCTCCAAAGGAACCCTACAGATATCTGGTGGCACTTTGTTCCTGTTCACTTCTCTTGATCCAAACACATGCACAAGGCCGACGCCCCCCCCCCCTTCACACCCTTGCCTCCCAAGACGGGATGGTAAAGGATGTAATACGATACGACATGGGCACGGCATGACGGAACGGTATGTGGATAAGACAGCCCAACGCGGCCCGGTTCAGCCCAGAACAGCTTACACAACGATGACAACGGGTACTGACTGTAGTGGACATGGTGGAAGGATGCGGTTGAATGTGCCGACGCCAGAAACGCTTGCACAGTAGCCCTTCTTGCTATCTCTTTAGCCCCTGGACGGGGTAGCAAATGATAGATAGATCTTGGTACAGTCGGGAAGGGCGAAGGACTTGGGTCTGAGGCATTGTCGGCCAGACATTAGCGGAAAGAGGCGGGCTGTTGCTTGATGTTGCAAATGAGAGGGCTATTCCGTTCGTGGAGGTGTGTCTTGGGCAGCGAGAAAGAAGCCCGGGGTGCCGGACTTTGACCACCCCCCCCTCCCCCCGCATCCGGAAGTACCCGGTACCTGCGGCGGATCCCTTTTGCCCACCACTGCATGTAGTTTATCAACGACCGGTGGGGGGGGTCTCGCCTTCTCCGTTGGCATACTCCGTACATAGCATGGCGATTGGGCGTGGTGAGCGGGAAGGCGTGAAGGGTCTCCACTTCCCGTCGAAGTAGCTCATACATTGTGTCATGGCAACCTCGGTCTGGGCCGCCTGCTTTCTGCTCCTCCTGCTCCTCCTGCTCCACACACTACCTGCCACTTGAAAGCTACTCAGTAATTACCTACTTACCTACCTAGTGTAGGTACTCTGTGCTCAGTACGGTGTATACACCCTTCGTTTCGTCTCTTGTCGTCCCTCCTTACGCTTTCTTGCCAAAGAAACGTGTGTGCCTCTTCTTTCTGATCAATTTTTATTTTCCCATGTCACTCCCCTGTTCGTCCCTTTCTCATCGTTACGTCCCCCCTTCTCTCTCTCTCTCTCTCTCTCCCTCTCTCTCTCCCCCCCTCTCCCTCTCCCTCTGTTCGTCTTGCCTCCGTTGTTGGAATACGTCGTGAAGAAACGAATTCAACCCCGAGACCAATCCGAATCAGACATATACACAGACCCATCTACACGTCTACCGGCCTACGAGAGGGAATTCGAACGAGTGCATCGTCACTTACATAGATAGGCATACGTGTGCCCCCACACCTGACCTATCCACCTCCACCATCTTCTTTTCCTAGGATTGCCCTCCTCCTCCTCCTCCACCAGGGACACTACACTAAAATCAAATCTCCTGCATGGTCAGCCCTCCTCTGACATATATCCCGGCCACCAGTGGCTCCCCATCCTGCACCTATAACAGGCCACGTCCCTTTTTTACGTCCGTAACGTCCCCCCCGGAAGGCCCAAGTCATCTTCGATTGTTCCCAATTTCTATCTTTTTTCGCATCGCACCAACGACTGTCACCGACGAATGACTGCCTTGTTTGATTCCTTTCCGAACTCACCAGTCATTCATATTACCCCCCTTATCCAGACGCTCGGCTGCTGACAAGAAATCCGAGATCTGACGCCGCCCAACAACCAACCATCAAATGAACTCAGGCCATTATTCCTCCGCTGCACGTCATGCCGCCGCCGTTACAACCGGCGGCGGTAGTGGTGCTGTCTACTCGGCCCAACCCGTCGACCATACGCAAGCCGCCTACCATCACACTCACTCGCACTTACAGACGCCCACGCATTCAACGCACGGACAGCCACAGTACTACTCGATGAATACTGTGAGCCCGCCCGCACAAGGACCCTCCATAACGAGCCCGCGCGTTCTGCCAAACTTGGACCTCATGCCCGGTGGCCACTCGCCTGGATCAGCGACTTCGTCCTTGCCGCAGGGCAGGAATGGTCCGCCCGCCGGTCCTTCTTCCCCGGCCGCTTCGGCCTCGGGGGCTTCCAGTCCCGCTTCCAAACCCATCCGTAGGCGAATGCGCATGATCACATCTTGCCTCGAGTGCCGCCGACGGAAGCTCAAGTGTAACAAGTCCCAGCCATGCGTCAACTGCATGAAGTTCTCCCGCGACTGCATCTACCTTAGCCCCAAGCTCGACGAGGCAAGCCAACTGCGCCTGACCGAGATCAAGGAGAAGGTCGGCTCCCTCGAGCGACAGTTGGAGCGCGATGTCGCCAAGACCACGTCTCGCGCCGCCATGCAGCAAGCCATCCTCGCCGATGACGTCGAGGACACCTTTGCCGAGGAGCAGGATCTTGAGCCTACCGATATGACGGCGCTTGATCTAACGTACGAGGAGGACGCAGACGGAACTGACGACCTCATTGATCTGGGAGTCCAGGTTGGCCGTATGCGTATCACAGAACGAATTGGCGGCCTGTCTAGACCAAGGATAGCCGAAGAGGTATGTACTTGACCTTGTGGATTCCAGAGAGCACCACTGCCTCCTATTGGTAACGACAGCCTTCTAACGCAGTAATCAGATCTCCGCCGGCATTTCTGGTGCAGGGGGTCCTTCGGGACCGCCTCCTGGTGGCCCGATGGGCGGCATGGGCGGAATGATGAGTATGATGGGCGGTAGGGGCATGGGCGGGGCCGGGCCAGGCGGGCCGCCCCGTGGTGGACCGCCTGGGTATCCCGGTCACATCGGCCCACCCCCCGGCATGGATGCCATGTCCGTCGTGAGCGGAAGTTCCAACGACTCGATCCCCGATTTTTTGAGGCCAGGCGAATCTTACATTCCGCCGTCGAGTGGTTTCTTCTTCGGCCACTCTTCCGATGCTCTGTCTCTCGACCGGAGGCTGCCCCAAAAGGAAGCCGCAGACCGGCTCATCCTGCAGTATTTCCAAGCGGTTCATCCTGTTGCGCGCTGTGTTCACCGGCCATCTTTTGAGAACGAATACCGCAATTTCTGGGATGACGTATATAGCAACATTGAGCCTCGCGCCTCCATACAGGCCATCATGTTTGCGGCATGGTTCAGTGCCGCCGTCAGCATGGACGACTCCACAGTCAGGGAACTGTTCGGTGTCACCAAGGCCAATCTGATTGAGCGGATGAAGGCCGATGCCGAACGGGCGCTGGGAAAGGCCAATTTCCTCCGCACGACGAGAGTCGAGACCATGCAGGCCTTCATCATGTACATGGTACGTCTCAACGCCCTTTGCCGCGCATGGATCTGTTGCTGACGTTAGATACAGCTTCCCCTTTGCAGAGCCGAGGTGTCTCGGGCTCACTCCGTTCTCGTCGGCGCTGCCGTGAGGATGGCGGAGTGCATGGGCCTGCATAGAGATGGAGAGACGTACGGACTGAACCCTTTGGACACCCACGTGCGAAGACTCATCTGGCACCAACTGTGCTTCCTCGACATCCGAACTTGCGAAGCGCAAGGACCGAGACCAGCAATTAGGCGAGAAGACTACGACACCAAGCTGCCGCTTAATTGCGAAGAAGATGAGCTTTACGCCGCTGGCCCACCCCCTGAGCCGGCCGAGCATTTCACCTCGACATTACCATCGCTCATTCGCTTCGAATGCAACGAGATGATGCGGATAATCTGGCTAGACCGCCGCAGACTCGAGAGCCGACGAACCACCCTGACCGCCGTTCTCACAAAGATCGAGAACTTCAGACGGCGGATGGTTGAAAAGTATGACCATCTCCTCGACGTTACAGTGCCAATCCAACGGTACGCCAAGCTGGTGATGAACCTACTTCTTTACCGCCTCCATGCCATGATCCTTCACCCCTACCACGCCAACGCCAATAGTCCCATGACGCACCGACTGAATAGCCTCTTGATTACATCCGGCATCATGATTATTGAGATATCTATACAGCTTGAGAACGATCCCTTGTTCCATGAATGGTCGTGGTACCTCGGCGCTTATCAACAATTCCAAATCGCTCTGCTCTTGGCGACGGAGATATACTATCGACCACAAAACCAGGAAGCGCACCGCATCTGGGCTTGCTTAGATTACGTCTTCAACACAGATCGCATGCTGCCACCCGAGATCAAGGGCCTGCAAATCCTGGGCGAGATTATGGGTAAGATGCAGACGTACCAAAGCATGCGCAAGATGCGCGCGCCGACAGGCACATCACGGGCGGCGCCGAGCAGGAACGCCGTGGGGGCCAAGCACAGGAACGCCGGGCTGCAGCCACCGTCTCAGCAGTACAATGCGCAGGACGTGCAGATGGGCTTCAAGGCAGAACCAAGTATGGGCAACGGCATGCAACAGGGCCCGCCCCCGATGAGCAGTATGACACCCCCGGGAATGTCGCCTCCAAATGCGCAGATGGCTGGTCCGCCTCCGGGAATTGTCTTCGCGGGCGTCTCCAATGGTGAAGCTATCTGGAGTATGCCGCCCGTGAACGCCGACAGCCCGGAGAGCATTAGCGACGGTGCCAGCGTTGGTGGACACAGGCCCTCGCAGCCGGTGAATATGGTGAACCCTCTTGAGGGCGTTGACTGGGTGAGTTTACCTCGTTTTCAAGTGCGAGAAAGTTGGCAAAGACTGACCGCACCAACTAGGACATCATCAACAACCTTTTCCCCCACGATCCAAACACAGGTGAACTCAACATCTCCGGCTTCAACGACCCATCTCTTGGATTGATCAACGGATTCAATTGGGTACAGCGATGATTGCAGAGTGTGCAGCTGGTTGACCTCTCTTGTGTGCTTTTGTATATTTGGGCTTCATCAGGCATCGCCGGCCTACATACGTTCGTGGCAGCTCTGATTAGTTAGGTATAATACCATGGCCACATGCTGATACGGGCGGTATATCTGTAACGCGGGTGGACCGAGAGCCTCGTCGGGCAGGAGACTATTTATTGTATGTTGCGTGTTCATGTGGAGATGGCTGTTTCGAAGAAAAGAATAAGAAAAAGGTACTCCTTGTGTGACTAGGGGAAGAAAACCGTGAGGGGTGGTATATCCAGCAACTCGAAATGGGTGTGTATGACTAGTTGGTTTGAGGCGTAGGAAGCACGAGGCAAGTTCACTATAGCTGGTGACGGCAACGTTCCCTCGTAGTGTAGTGCAAAAGAAAAAAAAAAGGGATTCGTGCGATGCATCTCTATCTTTGCTTACAATACATCATCAATCGTGTCAAAAGGATTCGCTTCCAGTTCACCCCAAGAGCAGAGACAAAATAAGGTCGTATGCTTCGTTACAGTGTCTACAAGCAGACCCCCGAAAGGATCCGAATGTCACGAAATATGTGTGTGTATAATGGAAATTACAATATGAAATAAGTTTATGTGGGGAACGAGACAGCAAAAACCAACAGGTATCGTCGTGCACCGGAAGAAATGAAAAAAAAAAAAGAAAGAAATCAGGTATTTCTCTTCTTTTCTTTCTCCGCCACTCCCCTCTCCTCCATCGAAAAAAAAGCCTGGAAATGCGTGTTCGTAAACTTCGTAACTTGTCTTGTTTTGGTATCCCATGCCGATGCTCAGTATCCCAGCCCGTTTTCCCTTTCTGAATTCCACGGGCAGTGTGTCTCTTGTCACACCTGCCCCCCTGTGATCGCGTGTATTACTTTCTTGTATATGTGTGTGTACATGTATGTGTGCATGTTGTGAATGTGTGAATGTGGCGTGTGTGTGTGTGTGTAGGTCATCACTGGGTGGAAGCCTGCTCGGGCAGGAACGTCCCCATGCTGATGTCGCTGTGCATGGCAGCCGTCTGGCCGCTGATGGACGCACCGCCGGCGTCGCTCCCGGGCGTGAAGAGACGGACCGCCTTGCCGCCCTTGGGCCGAGCCACCAGCACCTGGGCGGGGCAGACGACAATCTCATCGTCGTTGTTGCCGCCGTCATCGCCCTTCTTGACGACGAGGGGGAAGAGGACGATCCGGACGACGGCCTTCTGGGCCTCGAAGACCTCGTTGGTCACGGACTTGTCGGCGCTGCGCTCGTTCATGAGCGCCGCGTTGAAGGTGACTGTGTCGGCGAGCTCGCCGTCGGCGTCGTACTCGGGCTGCAACGGCGGGAGCATCATGTACTCGGCACGCTGGGTGCGCATCTCGATGGAGAGGTCGACGGCCTCTCGCATCACGCGGCGTAACTGTGACTGGATCTGGTCCTCCAGGTTGGACGGGGGAGGGAGGACCTTGGACAGCGTCTGGAAGATGGCCTGGACCACGGCCTCGGTGTCGAGATCACGCTGGTGCTTGAAGCTGGGCCGCTTGGATAGGAGCGTCAGGGTGACTGCGCGCCATTGTCGGACAGCCCGCGGGGGGCCGACCTCGGTAAGTAGCTTCTCTAGCGACTTGAGCTTCTGTCGCTGCTCGCGGTCCATGCCGAAGAGGTATCGGGTGAAGACGAACTCCCAGATCATGTTCATCGTCATGGACATAAACACGTCCCGGCGTTTGACGCGGTCGGCGAGGTATGTGTCCACGTCGGTGCCATCTAGGATGGCGTTATCGAGACGGTCGATGACCTTCTCGTCGTTGATTTCGCTCGTCAGGCGGCAGGAGCGCATGTCTGAGAACTTGGAGAACCGAAGGACCCATTGCTGCACGTGAGAGCAGAGCTGCTGACACCTGTGGTCGAAGTGGTCAACGTCCTTGACATTGAGGAAGTCACTGTCAGCGCCCTTGGTGGCCAGGATCTGGCGTTGCATCTGCCGGATCTTGTCCTTGGCCGCTTCAAGCTCGGAGCGCAGCCGACCAATCTCGGCGTCCTTCTGCAGCAACGACTCCTGGAAGTGGCCCTGCTCGGTGCGTGCTTCCTCCAACCGCCGCGAGGTGTCGGCGTGCTGCGTCTCCAATGAACGGTACCGCTCATTGTGTTGGGCAGCAAGTTGGGCATTGGCGCTGTTCAGACCTTCATTGACCTCGGTCAAGCGGGCCACCTCCTTTTGTAGAAATTCGAGCGATTGCTTGAGAACGTCGATTTCGGCATCGCGCTCTGCCAGGATGCCCGAGGCCCTGTTGCTGTTATGGGATTCGGCGTGGGCCCGGGCGTCGGCGAGCATCCGGTTCTCGGCCATCAATTGCTCGACACGAGACTCGAGCTCGAGGACTTGCATGCTCTGGCGGCGTCGCATGCTGTGTGGTCTGGTTGGCGATCGGGGAGAACCGATGCGGCCTTCCCCGAATCCATCCTACGATCAGGTCAGTCAACTGTCGGTGAGAGTTGGTGGTGGCTGGCTGGTGATGTGCGCGAGGGTAGCCAAGAGTAGTCGATTGCAGGTGAATCAAGGTAGAAAACAACAAGAAAAAGTTATGCACAGAAAGGAGGAACTTACGAAGACGTCGGCCATGTCCTTTGTGCGGACACGACCTTCGTTGGCGACGGGGGTGTTGCTGGTCGGTTCCTTGGGATCCTTGGTGAGGTCGAGCTGACTTCGTTGGCTCAGAGATCGTAGGTCTCCGCTTACACGCCTGTCTACCCGGCGTAGAGGCGGGGTGGCAGTGCCTGACCGCTGGATGCCTGGGCTCTCAGGCCGGAACTTTAGTGGCTCCGGTGTTAATGACCCCATGGCCCGCCTGTGCCGTGACAGGCTGCTATTGGACATGGACCTGCGCGCTACTGACTCCGTCGGCGCTGGCGACTGCAGTCGTGCAACCCTGTCGGAAACACTGCGGTTGCCCGGTGGGGGAGTGCTGCGTGGCGAGGAGCAGGTGCTGCTGATTGCTGCACCAGCCAGCGCTGCCGATGCCAGGTCCTGATACTTGGACCTTTTTCTCTCTAGCTCTGGGCTGACGGTTCTTCTGTACTTTTGTGGTTCCGGAGTCAGCTCCCGCCCAGTCGGCTCCCGGAGCACGGGGGTCTTGGAAAGAGGATGATCGCGCGTTTCTCCTTCAGCCGAAGGGGATCGCAGCAGTGCTGCCCTGTCCGTTGGCAATTTTGTTCCCTCCAACTCGCGGGATCTCCGCCTCTCACTTCTGTGACTTTTCAATTCGGGGGTCCGTTGCCCATCCCGGCCCGGCGAATTCTGGTCTTGCCACTCCTGAAGCTGGACACCGCTGTTTCGCTCTTCCTCATCGAAGCCGCTTCTTCTGAAGGGGTGGGGTGAGCCGGTTGTGAAACCACTGTCGCGCGTCGGGTCTGGTGAGCCGAGTGTCGTTCGGGAAGCTGGTCTATACAATAGCCGATGCTCTGTCTCGGCTCCTTCGTGCGCTTCCTCCTGTACGGGCGGCAAGATAGTCGGGACCGGACTGCGAAAACCGCCGACTTCAAAGCCGCGTTCTGGGCTCTTTAGTGGACGGCCACCTGAAAGGTCGCGACGAGTTTCGGCCTCGAAGCCGCGGTCGACGGCTTCGTCCATGTCAGTGACCATGGTGTTTGTCTTGGACGTCTTTGCACCCCAGCCCAGTGATTCTTCTTGGTTCTTGTTCATGGACATCCCCTCAGCTGCCTCCGTTCCGGTGTCCCGGCCGAGAACCGGGCTCTCAACGTTATCCTCCAATACCTTCTCCTTGAACGGTGCCGCCAGGCTCGGAATATCTCTGGATTTGTCCTTCGTTTTGTCCACTTCGAACGCCTGTGGAGGTGAAGACGTGATGAGCTCCGCTGTGTGAGCGGCAACATCGTGTGGCTGGCCCGAGTGGATGTTCAAGCCTCTAGACGTAGGACTAGAGACAACGTCCGCCTTTTGTACCTCCACGCCTTGACTAGACGGTCGTTGTGCAGGCTCGGACTTGTCGTCTTGCATAATATTCGCATCGGTGGGTTTCCTGGTCATCTGTTCGTGATCAGCGGCTTCGCCGCCAACCCAAAAGTCCTCAGCATCTGCGTCTGCAGCCTCGCCAACTTGTTTCCTGTCAGCACCTTCCCACAGAGAGGGGTCGTCCAACATGTCCTCCTCTTGCGACGCACGCTTGTCCTCGTACTTGGACTTCTTGCCCTTCTTCTCAGCGCTGCTAGACTTGCTTGCGAGGAAGGCAGCTCCAGCGGCGGCTGCTGCAATTCCAGCTGCGATGTCCATTTCTGCCGATTCGGAATCGGGATGTTTCTCAACTGTCTTTGGCTGGATGGGCTCATCCATGGTCTGATCATTCCTATGTTCAAGGTATGAAGCGGCCATGTCACGGGCAGATGAGGTATTTGGCTCCTGATGTGAGGCATACTCGTCCATCTTGCGTTCAGCAGGGCCTTGGTCTTGAGTGGTGTCGGGCTCCACAGTCGGCAACGACAGCTGTCCTATAGCTCTGCTGGCTTCCTCCGCTGGAGCCCCGAGGCCGCCATCGACATACGCAGCAGCGATCTCCCTAGAGCTCATGATCGGTTCAGGTAGAAGGGTGTTTGGCAACTCTCTTGTTTTCATCTTCTTGCGATTGTCAGACTGGTCGAAAGGCAGCTCGTGGACGACTGTGCTGGTTTCTTGTGCGGGAGTAAGATCAACGCCCACCGACTTGTTTGACGTGGGGGGTGGGCGGTATTGACGCCCTCAGTGACAAACTCCGCAGCAGCGGGCTCGGGAGGCGAGGGTGTTGTAGGGCTTCGAGTAATGTCGCGTGGTGCGTTGTCGAAATACTCAATCTTGTCTTCCTCCTCTTCAGACTTGCCCATCTCGGGCCCAGGCTCCACAGAATCTTGCTGCGAGTTCAAGTCGGCACTGACAGGAGATCGGAAGTCGAGAGAGATGGATTGTTTCTTGCTTTTCTTACCCTTCTTTGACTTCTTGGTTCCATGGACGTTCCACTCATCGTCCCCGGAAGCTGCGGGCTCATGAGCGGTCTCTGAAGCTGGAATCGCGGGCGTCTGTTGATTGTTCTCCTCGGAAGAGCGAGTGTTGTCTGTGGCAGCTTCACCAGCGGTCTCCGCAATGTTGGCGGATGTTTCCCTGTCAGCTGTGCTGCTCTCAACCGTGGGTCGAGTGTCTTGGCTTGTCTCCTCAGAAGTTGTCTCGGGAGCTGTTTGCTCGACGAGAGGAACTGGCTCAGCGCTCCCCGTGGTCTTGAGGAAAGGCGCAGCGGGCTCGTCGAGTTCCCGCTGGCTACTTGTCTCATCATCAAGCTTGTTGAAGCCGGCCGGTATTTCAGAATTGGGAATGGGCTCACAAGACTCCATAGGCTCGGCAGACTTCTGAGCTGCGACCATGTTTATCTCGGCTGCGGGGTGTTCGGATGGGCCATCAGTAGAATGTACAGTAACTTCGTCGGCTGGTGTCTCAAGCGACGTGCCGATCTCAGGCTTCGATGCCGTTTCCTTCTCAGCCGGGACAGCCTGCGGTGTTGCTGTACCAGAAGCCAAAGGAGAATCAGCTTCGGGGTCGTCCAATGGCAAACTCTGTCGCTTCTTCTTCTTCTTGTCTTTCTTGCTCTTGATTATGGTAGCAGCCTCCGGCCATTCTTCAGCTGGTGTTGCTGGTGCATCTGCAGGTAAGTCTTTGATGGCGGGCTCCTGCTCGGCGGCCTTTGATGCCTCTTCGACTTTGCGGTTATCAATGATCGACTGTGCATCAACGGAGAGGATACCAGAAGGCTTGTTGATTGCATCATCAGCCGTCTCGACCTGTGGCTGATGATCAGGAGTGCTCTTGGAGTCGATCTCTGGGCCATGCTCAGAGGGGAGCCCTGGCTTATTAGTCAAGGTTCCTGCAATGGCGTTGTTGTCAAGGGGTGCCTCCTGTAGGTCGGTCTTGGCTGTCCGGTCTTCTTGTGAAAGAACTGTCTTAGGCTCTGCCTCGAGGCTGGCGGAAGACGCTGGCGCTTCGGCAATAGCCTCGGGCTCAACGAGAGGAGATTGCTTCTTCTTGTTCTTCTTGCTTTTCTTCGAGGTTGGCACTTCAGGCGATTCCTTGGCAGGCACGGTTGTGTCCTCCGTGGACTCGACGGTTGAGATCTCAGTAGCAGGGTCTGCGGTACTTGGCTCTTGGACCGGGTGTGTGGCATGGTCTTCCGACGGGGTGGACGACTCATCGATGGCTGGAGCAGTAATTCCAGGCTCAATGGACTTTCTCTCCTCCTTGTCCTCCTTGGATTTCTTGACGACTAACTCTTGCGGTTCTTCCACGGACACTGACCCATCAACACCCCTTTCCGGCTCGAGTGTCAGCGTCTCAGACTTGGTCGGCGCATCCAGCTTCTTGTCGTCAGCGCGTTGTTCCTGTGCCGTCTCATGTACCAGAAGTTTGGGTTCCTCTCCTTTCTCATCGGCCAAGTCTTGGGTGGGGACTTCTGGAGCTGTTGCCGTGATCGGAGGCTCGACGGTTGGTAGATCTGAAGTAACATTGTTGTCGGTAGTCGAGGCTTGCTCAATTGTCGTCACATCTTTGGCTTCCTCAGCGGCAGCCTCCAATGGCATAGCGGTTTCGGAACCCAGATCGAAGCTATCGCCCGCCTTGGACTTTCGGTTCTTCTTCTTGTCCTTCTTTGATTTTTTGGCGGACGTAGCCTCGGGCCATTCCTCTTTTGCGGGTGGTTGGTGCTCTGTGACGGCTCCATTGCTAACTTCCTGAACAGGGTCGCTGAGGGATGCTGGCGATTCAGTCGTCCCGAGTGGTTCTTCGACAGAGCGGCTCTCTGCCTGAGGGTGATCTTGGGAAGAAGTGGGCTCGGATCCAGATGGGACAGCGGACGACTCGATGTCTCGGGAAGCTTCTGCGGGCTCGACCGACACATCAGGAGATTGCTTGACTTGGCTTTCAGGGTCCAGTATCTCAGCCGGAGTGGCATTACCTGACGTAATCTCGGGGTCATCTTGTGATCTGCCCTTCTTATTTTTCTTGTCTTTCTTGGACTTCTTTTGAACCGACGGGAATTCGTCCTCCATATTTGGGGATTCGGCGGCGACCTTAGTGGGAGCATCGCTGGCAGTGGCGATAGGAGTTTCAGCGGCAACCTCTACGGGAGCAGCCTCGACTGGGACTTCAGAGGGCGTCTCGGCAGAGATGTCAATAGGAGCTGTTTCCGTGGGGAGAGAAGAAGTCTCTGTCTCAGTGACAGACGCCTCTTTGACTTTGACAACGTCATCAGCCAAGTTCTGCTCGAGATCTGGGCGAAGCGGGGTTGACTCCTCGGGCTCTACCAGAACGGCGTCTGCTGATTTTCCCTTCTTCTTTTTCTTTTCCTTCTTCGATTTCTTGGTCGTGTTTAGAAATTCTTCTTCGGGATCAGGGACCGCTGACTCTGGTGCGATCTGGGTTGATTCCCCAGGGGTTGCTGGAACAGCGGGTTCGACAACAACAGTATCCTTGTCTGGGGTGTTATTGTCGGCCGGTGGCAGGTCAACCTCTCCAAAGGACAATGTTGTCGTGTTCGGGGACTTGGGTTCGGGGGCGTCTTTCTGAGGAGTTATATTACTAGAAAGAAGGTC